TAATGCTACTGAAAAAAAAACATTTAACTGCTGTTATGCTCTCTGTTGCTGTAATCATCCTTCTAAACAAATGTTTGTGTCATAGTATATGGTTTTCTTGCAAAATTAAACTAGGAGATTCTTGGTTAAATCTGAGTTAAATCACAGTTTTATGCGCATGTGAGTGACAGGGACTGTACAGTGATGGTTCTGTTTGCATTTTACAGGTGAATAAAATCCTTGCGATTAAAACTTTCTTGGAGATCTAGGAAAGAAAATAAAAAGCTATGGAGAAGTGTCTGTTGAAGAAACATGCTTGGTTTTTGGCAGAGAAGTTTGTGGTTAGCTATGCTTTGTTAGTGTTCGGTTTTATAGGGGCAGTGCTAGCGCTCACATTTTCTAACAGATAACAATTGTCTGAATTATAGCTTAGGTTTTATTAAAATATTTAAAGGTAAAAGCACCATATTTAATTCTACATGTGGGGAATTTTTTGTTGCAGTTAATTCACTTATTCCCACTGCCTATGACTCAGTTCTGGCATTATAGCCCATTTCCAGGCTTTCACAACTATTATTTTTGGCAGCTAATAATGCCCAGAGCTACCATCTTTCCTTAAACTTATCCAGATCAGGCATTAGTAATAAACCCCATAGAACAAATAAAGCTAGATATGTAAGAATCAAAGACTCTAAGTCAACTAAGTCTTTTGCAAGCTTAAAACTAGAAAGCTTACAGTTTAGACAGTCCCAAAGCATGAGCTGTATTTTGTATAGGCAATCACATAAAGCGTGTCTTTGACCTTTTACTTCTAATGATGTGCAGACGGCATCTTGAAACATGCTGTCTCTTGCTCTGGTAGATTTCTTGACATATTACAACACAGGACAAAATCAGTGAGCAAAAATAAAGAGGAATAATCTGTTCAACGTGCTTAGCAGCCTGCTTTAACTGTTAGGTGATACGGTCTTTCTGGCTACTCATACTACTAAGTCCAGCAGTCATTCCTGTGCCTTTCCAAATTCTTCATAATTCGCTTAGAGGTTACCCTGAAGTTCCTAAGTGGTAGGAATATTGAAGTACCTACTTTTCTTAAGGAAAAAATATCATAGAATCATAGAATCGTTAGGGTTGGAGAGGACCTTAAGATCATCTAGTTCCAACCCCCCTGCTGTGGGCAGGGACACCTTATGCTAAATCATATCACCCAAAGCCTCATCCAACCTGGTCTTGAACACTGCCAGGGATGGAGCATTCACAACCTCCCTGGGCAACCCATTCCAGTGCCTCACCACCCTAACAGGAAAGAATTTCCTTCTTATATCCAACGTAAACTTCCCCTGTTTAAGTTTTAACCCGTTACCCGTTGTCCTGTCACTACAGTCTCTAATGAAGAGTCCCTCTCCAGCATCCTTATAGGCCCCCTTCAGATACTGGAAGGCTGCTATGAGGTCTCCATGCAGCCTTCTCTTCTCCAGGCTGAACAGCCCCAACTTCCTCAGCCTGTCTTCAGCAGCCTTCTCTTCTCCAGGCTGAACAGCCCCAACTTCCTCAGCCTGTCTTCATATGGGAGGTGCTCCAGTCCCCTGATCATCCTTGTGGCCCTTCTCTGGACTTGTTCCAACAGTTCCATGTCCTTTTTATGTTGAGGACACCAGAACTGCACACAATACTCCAGGTGAGGTCTCACAAGAGCAGAGTAGAGGGTCAGGATCACCTCCTTCGACCTGCTGGTCACGCTTCTTTTGATGCAGCCCAGGATACGGTTGGCTTTCTGGGCTGCGAGCGCACACTGCAGCCGGCTCGTGTTCATTTTCTCATCAACCAACACCCCCAAGTCCTTCTCTGCAGGGCTGCTCTGAATCTCTGCCCAACCTGTAGCTGTGCCTGGGATTGCTCCGACCCAGGTGTAGGACCTTGCACTTGGCATGGTTAAACTTCATGAGGTTGGCATCAGCCCACCTCACAAGCGTGTCAAGGTCCCTCTGGATGGCATTCCTTCCCTCCAGGGTATCAACCGGACCACACAGCTTGGTGTCATCGGCAAACTTGCTGACGGCGCACTCAATCCCACTGTCCATGTCAGCGACAAAGATGTTGAACAAGACCAGTCCCAACACCGATCCGTGAGGGACACCACTCATTACTGGTCTGCGTGTGTATATATATATATATATATATATACACACATACATTATATATATGTATATATTTAGACATGTATATATAAAGAGAGATGAATGGCCTTACTGATAGTTTTATGTTTTTCCTATTGTAGTGCTACTTACAAAATTTCTTTATTGTGCTCTTTAACTTGTTCTTCCAGATCATTAATCTTAGTGGGAATAGAATTCATCACCTTGCTTAGTCTCTTATTCAATGTCCCCTACTTGCCATTCTAATCCAATTTTGTGAGATTCACATTAGGGAGACTTGCATATTAAAACAAAGGAAGTTTTGTTTGAGGTGTAATTTAAAAGAAATAAATATCCTAAATAATAGGATAGCTTCATGGGACTTCTGTTGCACACGTGTTACTCATTGACAGGAGAAGATAACTTGGGTGTTGATAGGCAATAGGAGGCACAAGATCAAACCAGCTATTCAAATATATTGAATCAGATTCCAAAAGAGTCTCGAGGTATTTTAAGGACTGAGATTTAAAAATACACAGAAATACACGCTGCTGTATGTAGAAGTACCTGTACAGCCATGAAAGCCTGCAACCTTTTGTAAGAAATTATTCAAATACGAAATATGCCAAGTATTGCAATATTTTAAATAAAATCAAATGTAGGCTGTAGAGGTTTAAAAAAGAAGTATGTGAGTGTGAATGACTTCACAATATAGTCTGAAAGACAGCAAATGATGGAAGTTGCTGTTTATGTGTTCATAGTTAACATAGGGGAATTCCTTGGATACATCTGTAATTGAAGAGTAGGAATATTGCTGTGGTATTGTCTTGAGTGTTTGTTCACAGGCATTAAACATTAAAATAATTCAATACTGAGAAGTACCGAAATCTAAAACTATAGTGACACAAAGAGCAAAAAAGAATATGACTACAAACACAACAATATAATGTTTCATATTGCTGCACAGCACTGTTGTAGAGTTAGCACTGTTCTCTTAGTTAACGAAACCAAGAAAGATGTTTTCTGGGTCATCAAGCCCAGCCTCCTTCCAGTGGTTATTACTGTCTTCAGCTTATTATCAGATCAAGCTTTTAAAAGCAGCTGTCACAGGCACAAAGGCTGTCCTTGAACCTCTCTATCTGTTTCTTTTGGGTTTCTAGCCTTACACTTTATTCATAGAGCAACTCTGTTTTGATCCATATTTCTACAGAGTTTTTCTGCCATTAATTATTTCTCTCCTGAGTTTTCTGGGTAGAAGAATCATGTTCCATTTGATGTCCTTCATTTGGTCCTCAATTCTGCACAGATCCCAGTGTGAGTTAATACACTTTTAACATGAAGAATTGGAAATGCGTGTCATATCCCAGAGGAGGCCCCACTGGTGTCTTACACAAGTTAATTCTTATTTGCCTCTTGCTTTTGGAAGTATCTCACATGACATGTTTCAGAATGGCATTTGCTTTTTCCAGGCGTTGTCATAGTGCCCCACAATTTTCCAGCTGACATTTGCGTATCTTCACCATTTCCAATTGAATCTGCAGCTTATAAACATATGTGTTGCTATCTTTATGTATATGATGTGTGCTTTTTGATGTTAAAATAATTCCTTTTTCTCAGACTGTAGTCTTTGAAATTAAATCAGCACTCCTGATAGATATTGCTATGCTCCTCTCTGTTTTATACATTACTGGCATCAGAGTTTTGCAGGCAGTTGTCAGGCACTTTTTTTGTTTGGTTGGTTTTCCTCCATCCTGAACTAAAAAATGATAGTGACTGTAGTTGGTTTTTGCAGTCTTCAGGTATCATTGTGACTTGACACATGTAGTAAAAATCCATGTTTCAGGCTCTGTGGTTCCACACATTAATTCCTCCAGAATTCTTTGGTGATTATTTATGGTCCCCTGCCCTCCCCAGCTTGAACCACTGAGCTCCCTGAATTTTCCTTCTTAACCTTCATTCCTGTTAATTAATTAGCCTGCTGTCACCGTCAAGTGCTTTATAGTCCTTACTGAGTAGCAATGAAGAATACTTACAGAGCTCTTTCTTCTAGCTGTGCTGAGATTTTCTTACAACTGTACCACATTCTTACTTTCTTTTGTGGTTATTTATATATGTACGTCTATACAAAGAAACAAAGGGATACAAAAAAGTAATAGCACTTTTTTTTACTGTTTGCTTTATGTCAGCTTGATTTTTATTATTTCTTGAGCATGTGCAAATGCCATAACTGGATTTCTGTATCTTAATTCTAAAATCTTCATATCTCACTGAGTTTGCATGTGTTTTAAATTCATACTTTCGTTCATTTTCATGCTATTATTAAAGAAAAAATAAAAAGAAAAAAAGGAGGCCTAAGACCCAATCTTTTAAAATTCATGCTTTTATTAAAATTTTCTACTGTCTTCAGAAGTATCTCTAATAACATTCTCTCCAGGTACAATGATACATCCAGAAATAATCCAAGTGGCTTGTATACAGATTTAAAAATAAGGGATGTAATTAAACTGAAGCTACCATGTATTTATTGGGTTTGGGTTCTCAAAATGATTTGCCTTGATACCATAATGTGATCACATCTGATGACTTTTTTAGCTGCAAAATATAAGTAACGATCAGTTTAGTTGTGGAACAAGTTACTGTGGAACAAGTAGCTATTTCTGTGCCCAGCAAGAGAAAGTTTGAAGCATTATACTGCAGTGATGTTGTAAAAACATTCTAAGTAAAGATAGCACAGAATCTGAGTAGTGGTTAAAATTCTGATTTTCTATATGACAGCTTTAATTTAATTTACTAAATAAACTAAAAAACACTTTTAGTGTGTACAGTAAATCCCATTATATTTGTGATCAAGAATAAAATAATTATGCCTTCTCCCTTTTATCACAGATTCCTTGCAGCTTGGAGTATTGGGATGAGCTTCAGAAATCATTTGTTGCATTCCGGGAATTCAATCTGTCAGAAAGCAAAGTCTGTGAACTACAGCTACCAAGTATCAACCTTGTGAATGATCAGAAAGAACTCATAGCCTCCGACCTGTGGAGGATTGTCCTGAATAGCAGTCAGAATGTGGCTGATGACCAAAGGTAATTTTAAAGGAGGAGAGAAAAACAGAAATCTAATGCTACACTCTTGAGAGATCTTTTTAAAGAGACGTAGGAAATAAGATACTGTTTTCGTATGCGGTAAGAGTAGCTGGTCTTAAATGACCCTCAGACTTGTAGTTCATCTTCAGGCAAGGGCATGTATTATGCACAAAAAGGGCTCTCTTAGATTTATAGGCAGCCTGGCAGCATTACATTCATCCATTTTCTGAATACAAGGATTCCTGTAGAATGAAGACAAACAGGCCATGTACTGAAACCTCTTAGCTGCACAATGCAGTAAAATTAGCTAGTTGACAAAAGAAGGGTGAGGCACAATCCGTTGTATAACATAGTAATAAGCATTCTTCTTCCATGTACTCTCCATACACCACCTTTAATTTGTCCTCAGTGCAAGTCAATGAGTAAAATAAGCCAAGTGACTATTTTAAATATATTAAACAAAACTTGAGTACTTCAAGAGCATTACATTATTATTTACAAAGCTTGCTTATAATGCTAAAGAAAATTAATCAGTGTTTCCAAACACTGGGATCCATTTTTCATTATGTTTACAGCTGGAAACAATGTACAATGATAAATACTCTTGTTTGCATTCATCCAGTTTTGGTTAATATGTAAAGTGAGAAGAAATGAGTAGAAGTTCTCTACACAAACAGCAGTGGAATTGCTTTCAAAGATCTTCTTAATATAGCTAGAGCAGAAAACCCAGAATGACCCTGTTGAATCATTGGTTTTTGCTGATTATTGCTGCCTGTATATGAACACATGCTTGAATGAGTGTGCAGCATCCAACATATATGTTATGTGAAGCTACAGAAATCAGAGAAATCAGGACATATGAACATGGCTAACGAAATCAATGAAGAAAACTAAACATCTGGTTTCCATTAATAGTATCAGGTTGGAAATGATTTCTTGATGTTAATTGTGGAAGAATGCAGTTTCATCATTGAAAAGTTAAGTGTTTTAGACAAGGTTAATTCCTCTGAATGTGGGACCTTGGCAAAATTGCCTTCCTGGTCAGCTTAACACCACAGAAATGTGAACTCGGTGGGAACTGAAAATGAAGTAGTGAAATTTAGTAGGTTTTTTTTCATCAAAATTTTGGCAGTTTAATTGTGTTTACTGTTTTCTGCTCAAATAGGGTTCATCACTACATGCAGTGTTTCATTCAGGGAGATCTGATAATCTAATGCATTGAAATTGTTCAGAAAGTTGTCCCTGTCCATGGCAGGGGGCTTGGAACTAGATGATACTTAAGGTCACTTCCAACCAAAGCCATTCTATGATTCTGTGACCAGCCTGAGGTGATTCTTCTCAGAGAAACTTTACAGATCAGAAAAACCTCAGAGATGAAGCTTTGACGTATGGTGCTTGAGGCACACTGTTGCTTTGTTGAAGACACTGGCTGTGTCTTCAAGCAGATCACACCAGTCACATGTCACTGACCTGGAGATTTTGAGACTCTTCACAAACACTGAAATGCATATAGTTACAGCTACAAAACAAGTTTAAGGTAACAGTTAAGCCCCAAAGGATCATGTTCTATTAAGGGAAAGCCTTGTTAGGAGATGGTGACAGATGCTGTGGACCCGTAGAGAAAGCCAACTTTTCTAGACCCTTAGTAGCAGATAGGAAGTCTGTGCTGGCAGTAATTTTGCTGAGATTTTGGCTTCATCAAACAAGCATACTGCTAACAGTTTGGATATTTTCTTGTGACCAAGAGCCCTAAAATGTATTCTGGATTCTACTTGGCCAAAACTGCCAAACTTTTTTGGTTTTGGAGGAGACTACCCCATATCATGGTAAATTTCAGTGCTAGGCTTGTTCCTGAAGTAGACATTTAACATGAGATGGTACAGACTTGTGAGAAGAGCCGCAAGGAGCCATGCTCAAAGCTAGTGCCAAGTGTTAGACTAGGGAACTTCAAGGCTGAGGGATCTGCAAGTGAGAGGATCTTTGCTATCCTGGACACTCATTATGATTTCTCATTAATTACATTCTGTAACTGTGTGATTAATTAGCAAATTTAATTCACTATTAATTATAAAATACAAAAATGCTTAGATTTGTTGAAGTTTATTTTCTCAGTTTGATCTTGCATTTGGGGTCAGACTAAGAGCTGCCATATGCATGCAGCTGCTCTTCAAGGATATTTTTTTCCTTCAGATTCTGCAGAGGTGTTTTTTTTGTGGTAACCTCTATGATATGCTAATTATTAATAGCAGAAAGCTAGTCCCTTGTGTTTTAAGTACTTTATTACTGATTCCTAGCATCAGTTATAAAGTGTGAAATTTATGTGGCTCATGTGACAGGAAAACAACAATGTTTGTGAGAAGATGTAGATCCAGCTGATATGTTCAGCAGTAGCTGGCAGGCTGAAGTATATCAACCAATAATGAATATAGGAATATGCAAAGATGTCATGATCAGAATCTTGTGGTATGCAAGCTTTTCCTGAGTTTGATCAGAAACTAATTAGAAGTATAAAAATCAAGGAGCTATCTGGTTAAGGACATAATTTTTATATATATATTGCTTATTTTTAAGAGTTTTGCAGACCACTCATTAGTCAATGAATGCATAAGGTTTGAATGAACATTTAGCAACGTTTATTCAACGAATGAACAAATCTGAAGTAAGATTGAAATAAAATAATTTTGCATTCCCATGGGGATTCAGCATAGTGTTGTCTCTCAAAGGAATCATATATGGCATAAATGACTTTTTATGGAAGACCATAAAATAGGGAATTGAAAGGAAATTATCATAAAATATTTTCAGAGGTTGTATTTTTGTGTTGGAGTACTAGCAAATTATAATCAAAATAACTTTTGTTTAAAGCTCTGTTTGGCTGGTGAGACACTAAAGCTCCTCCTTAGTTTGGTTGGGAGGAGTTTATCATTCTTTGTTTAAGTGGATTCCATTGCAAGATGTTTTATATATTTGTGCATCTCCGGTGTAATGTAAACAGTATTTTTATAATTACTGACATACTAATGTGAAATAGTAATTGAAAATGCCTTAAGATACGAACCGTGAAACAAGTACAAAAACATTTAAATGAGCCTTAAATTGCTACTTTTTAAAAATTAAAGTAAGGAATCATGATCATGTTTCTTGCTAATTGTTTTAGCTTTTATTCAAAGTAATGATGTACTGGATTTTGACCTCTAACAGTTTGGGTTCAGACCAGCAGTTGAGTCATAAATTAAATGAATTAAGTGGTCTCTTTCTTCTTCCCAGTGGATATTTTCCCATGTTGCGGTTTCATCACAAATGGCAGTTTTGGTTTAAATATTCCACTCTTAAAATAACAAGAATAATGCAGGTCACTGTTAAGTCATTGTTCCCAGTTGCCATATATTTAAATTGAACTGTTTTGCTTGATGTGAAGCTATCATATTTTATAATATATAATTTCTTGAATGGAGGTGTTTTCCATGTTAAAAATTTTGTTTCATAGGATTAAAAAAAAAAAAAAGGCAAAAAGAAATTTCTAGTATTAACGTCAGGTCAGTTTTGTGTAGAATTTCCTCTGGTTTTGCTACACCCATCTCTCAGCATGTGTTTGTGCCAAACACAAAGCAGTAGAAGCTGGTTATTCCTTCTTTCCCCAGCTGAAAAATTGTGGACAGTTGACAGTTCATTTTGGAGCTCCAAAGCAGCCAAGGGAATGCTGGAATTTTTTTAAATACTGTATTCATTTCATGCACAGATTTTGATTTCACAGTGAGATCTAGCTATGATGTTAATGCTCCTACTGTTGGTCACCAAGACTTAATACAAAGTTACCTGGGTAACGCTGCTTTATTTTCTGTTTGTGCACAGCATGTGATGAAGGACTGTGTTTTTGATTTCTGTGCTCTATGCGAGGTAAAAGGATAAAGTAGCAGTGCTAAAGGTCTGACGGAAGTCTACTAGGCAAAAAGTTTAAATGGGATTTAATTTAAAATCGAAGGGTCACGGTACCGATTGTAAGGACTGCAGTCTGCCTTAAAAAAACTGCTCATTCTATATTGTGATCTCTTATTACAATTCTATTTTAAATCAATACTACAGTAATTTGGATGCTGCTTTCAGTATATTTTGTACTGTAACTGGTTTATACTGTTACGCATTTTTATTTTCATAATGACATGGGGGCTATAATTCTTGCTATGGTTTCTAGTTGAGTAAAAATCAAATGGACTCCACAGATAATAATACTTGAACAAGGAACAGATAGGAAAACAGTGATGAACGAATCCTCATTGCATTTCTTTTTAAATGATTTCTAAAAGGTGATCTCATCTCTGAAGAGTGATTTTCCCTTCTAAAATGTAGCTTGTCCCACATTCTCCTGCTTTTCTCAGTCCTTCACTGCCAGCATTTGTCCCTCCCTTGCATGGGAGAAGATGCAAAGCCGGTTCTGTCCCAGGGAGCAACACTGTCCCATCCTCATTTGCTGTTTCACTCTGATTATTTTTTTAAGCATATGGTTGGACTCTGAAGTTTGTTAGAGAATCATTTTAGTGGTGGGTCTTTTTGGTTTCTATAGTGATTGTCCATGAGTCACTTTGAATCTTACTGTTCCAATCATTTTAACTTCCAGAATATTACGTCTTCTTGGTCTGCTGCTTGTGGGGCAGGAAAGGTCGAGCAAAGTATGGCTAAATGCTTTAAATTATTTCCCTGGTGTGAAGCTCCTGCCACATTTCCTCCTGCATGAGGCATGTTATGTTGCCCTGTAATCAGTGTGGTTATGAATGAGAAATGAGAAAGGTCCCATCACAGTAGAATGCTTGATAAATAAAAAACAGGTATATAAAATTTGACTAAGTATTTAGAGATTTTGTTTGGGTTTTTATTTTATGGAAAACATCCATCTCCAAAAAAAACATCTTTAAGGAAATTAAAATGCTAAGTCACTGATAGGTGACTTGAGGAATAGGCTTCTAAGGAAAAGAAATTTATCATTTTAGAATAAACCTCAAATTTTAGAAATAAATGTCCTTTTTTGTTAGTGCAGATAGTGCTATAGCTGTTTGATGCAAATTAAGTAATAACTGAAAGTATTAAAACATAATTAAAAGCAAAAAAGTTCCTCATAGTTTAACATTTGTTTGCACCTCTCTGCCCTTTTTCTGTTTTAATTCCATGTGTCCCTGAACTTCTGTTTCTAATCAAAATGCAATGATCAACAATAATTAAAATGTGAAGAGTTATTCGAAGAGAACTAACCAGTTTCATAGATTCAGAAGTGTTAAATGGTCTAAATCAGCCTCCAGATTTTGGCAGCTTTTGGATTTGCTTCCATGCTTTGGTTCCAAACAATCTAAGGAGTATCCATGTCAGAGCAAAGCAAAGCATCCCGTTTCTTTGACCCTAGTCCGGTCCCACAGATCTTTTGTCATGTAAACACAAAGAATAATTTTATTTCCTAATATGCCAGTTCTTAAAAACCTGCAACACCATTTTTGAAATGTGAGCGGGCAATTTGAAGACGTAAAGAAGCACAGGAAAGCAACTAAAAATCTGATTATCTGTCTTTCATCCTTCACAAACCTAATCCATTCTTGATGTCTTGTCTTGATTCTTTGATAACGAGCTAATTTTAGTTATGTTTTACTGTTAAACAAGTATTTTAATTTATGTCCACAAATCTGAAGTTGGACTTGAGCTCCATAAATAAATACCGTGCTAGCTGGCTACCGTAACACAAAATAATAGTGATAAATTTACTTATCCATGGAATTTTAAGCATTTGCAGCTGAACTTCTTGAGTATCTACTATATTTGTACATAATTTTGTATTAACATGCGTGGAATTATGAAAACTTTGGTCCTAAAGGCTTAAGACGTTGTTTTGAAAACCAATTTAAACTTAAGTTTGCATTTAAACTATCTTTAAAATGTTTATTCACAGTGCTTTGTAAAAGCCTATTACTTTCTGACAAAAATAGTAAGTTGGCCTTAGTTAGTCCTTCATTAAATTTTATTTTAAAAATAAGATCATTATTTGACTGAGGATTTGACCTTAGCTTTCTTGACTCAAACTAAAACTCTAATGCCAAACTGCAAAGGGAGTGAGAATAAGGAACATTAAGGGTAGATTTGGCTTAAATTAGAAAGTTTATTTGTGCTTCAGTGGTGTCTTAGCAACCTGTAGAATTGTAATGTAGTGTTAGTGTCTCTCAGGAGACTGAAAGATAATGCTTGGAAATTCATGGCGTCAGGAGCACGGCTATGGAAAAAAAATCAGCGGGATGGCATTTTAAATGTATAGTTAATATGTTGTAATAGGTGCTGGTAAAAGGCTCCAGGCTGAGCTTACGATACTTGGAGTTGTTTTTTTAAATGATGACTCTATAGAGTGAGAAGGACAAAGGAAAGAAAGCTTAAAGGGACAGGGTTTATACATAGCAGTAGTTTGATGGTTGTGAGTTGGTCTCCTTAAAATGAAAGAAATGTTTCTCTTGACCAGATTAACTTTTAGCTCATTCTTACAGCTTTAGTAACAGTAATGTACTCTGTTCAACTATACCAGCAATTAAAGATACCTGGTATGTTTTGGTTTTATTTTCTGTAAGTACACTTTGCTTCTGCAGTTACAGTTTGTAAATTGAAAGTGCAGCATGATAAAAACAATGTCGAATTGCAGACTTGTCTGCTATGTTCTGCTTGGGAAAAAGCACATACACTGACGTTAGCAATTAGAAAACTATGACATTGGCTGTGTCAGAAAACCAGCACAGCACATGCCCAAGTCCTGTTGTAAAGTGATAAAATCCTGGAACTGCTGAACTGCCATTTTGTCATGTACCTTCCACAGCTCAGAAAGTGAATCTGGCTCACAAAGTGCATGGGATCAGCTTGTGACTCCCACAGCATTAGCAGCCTGTACCAGGGTTGACTCCTGTTTTACTCCTTGGTTTGTGCCATCACTGAGTGTGTCGATCCAATTTACCTATGTGGAAGTCCACCTCTGCCATCATCTTGATCAACTAGGCACAGGTATGTATTCCTTTACACAGAAAAATTAAAATACATAGTTCACACATGCTGCTTAATCGCACTTCTGCTGCAGGTAGTCCACATTTCCTCATTCAGACAGGAATTCTTGCAATAAATTATCACCAGCAGCCACTGGTGGTGCAGACTTGAGGGTAAAACGGATGACTTTGGTGCATTGAGAAAGTACATAGGGTAGGCAGTGGGGCTGCCTGATCAGTCCCCTTCCTCCCTCCAGAATGGGTAACTGTAGAAGCCGTTGTTTTCCATAGTCTGATCAGTGACAGCAGGTGCCACTTCAGTTTTGAGCCATCTTAATGAATGAATTTTGTCTTTTAAATTTTCCAGCATATTAACAGTACTATTAAAATATTTGAAGATTTTGAAACCCCCTTATAGTAAGAATTCCTTGGAAAGGCTCTGAGAACTGCAGATTTAACTGTTATTTCAGTTATGATCACTTTTGGAGCTACATCTGGTTTTGTTCAGTGCTCTCTGTCATTGCATTAATGGCAAATACATTCCAAGAGATCTTTAGATTATTGTCTGATTTGCAGATGCCAGGAATACTTTCTGTGGAAGATGAGCAAATATCTTAGATAATTTTGACAGGGACAGCTTTCTCCATGAGTAGTTTTTGTGTTTCTGCAAGTATTATAATATATGCATTATCAAATCATACCGACACTCAATGTCTAGCAAATAATTTCTTGTCTATAGGCTTACCTCTATCACTATAATCTCCCGCACTATTACACTCCAATTCCAGATGCTCAATCTTTAAAATTACATGTACTGGAAAAGGCAAAAATCAGATTAAAGTCAAGCCCAGCTGTTTCATTTTTCAACAGTAACCGAGTTTATGCTTATGCTGCTGTTGTTCCTGTTATAGACCTTAAGTTTTGGGTCTCTGTTTTGTCTTATGTTGTACACGAAGGGAGCACAAAACTTACTGTATCCATTATGCATTTGCAGAATAATAGGGCTTGATTCTAGGAAGTGATGAGTGTTTTGGTTCCAAATCTGTAGAGCACTTGAGCATATTCTGATTTTAAGCATGTGAGTAGTTCTAGCAACATAAATAATAACATCAGAGGAAATATTCATATGCTGAATGCTGCAGAAGTGGCATATGTGCCTTGCAGTATCTGCTGCCACAGTGCTCATCACTATGCCAGGACTGAGACTTCAGTGGACATGATAAAACAGTTTTTATAAATATATTTCTCATACTTTAGTCTCAAGATATTATTTTGTTTAATTTCTATTATTATGCAGTAATATGTAGCATCTCAGTGGGTTTCTGGTCTTGAACTCTGTCACTGCAGTAAAGACCGTTTTCATTTTGAGGCCTGCGAGCCTGCACAGTCATGTGTCAGCAAATATTATATTGCTAATTTTTATTGTATTCAAAACATGCTATCATATATATGTACTACAGCAAAAATTCTCACAGAAATATGGTCTCTGCTCCAAATAGGTGGCAATCTGAAGTATTCTGCAGTGTGCTGATAAAGCAGTTTGGGTGGCTAATCTATTTGTGGTAAAAAGATTTTGGTTTGCAGATTCTTTTTGTTTGCAGCTGCTATTAATTACAGTTCTATTTTACATCTAACAGTGTGAACAGGATTAATTTCAGATTTCAGAAGAGTTGACTCTTACGAATTTCACTTCTTTTCATCATATGTACAAACAGTTAAAACGCAATTTACAAAACCAAACAGAATGTTTCAATGGTGAGGCTCTGATCTTTTTCGTTCTTTTACTTTTCAGCACCACCAAAGTTTCTTCAGCCATTTTCATCTGATAAGAACATGCCGTCTGAACTAGAATACATGATAATTTCCTTTGTTGAGCCTCATGTATATCTTCGTCAGTGGAGCGATGAGTTAGTGTTCCAGGAGATCCAGTTTTCAACTCGAGCCGACTGTAAACTTCTGGAGTGCCGAAACATGACTATGCAGAGTGTTGTGAAACCTTTCAAAATCTGGGGGCAGATTGCTATTTCCAGCAGCACAGTAGGAAGGCTCTTGGACTGCACAATAATGGTGGACCCCGTTTTCATCAACTTTGGCCAATATGCACTTCATTCTCTAAATACAGCAATTCAAGCTTGGCAGCAGGTAGGCAAAAACAATAATGAGAACAAATGTAGCTATTGCAATTAACTGCATATCAAATTAGAATACCAACTGCATTCATTAAAATTATTCCAAGGTGCAAAAGCTTTAATTTAAAAGTGCTTTCTGCTAATAAACATTCATTCCATGATAAAAATGAAAATTAGGAGGCAATGAATGCTATATGTAAAGGTAAATGTAGCCAGAACTGCTTGAGTTTTTGTGAAACTACACGGATTTATATCAAAATAATCAGGATCTTGGTCTTGAAATGCATAATGTTCCACTAATTTATGAAAAGGTGAATGATGCATGGTATGTAAGCACAGCTCAGTCTGAGTGGTAGAGCATATTGTTTCCAGCTACTACTTCTATCCTTATTGAAGTTCAGCACTAGTTTCACATTACACTCTGCACAAGCAGCATTAATGGCTGAAGCCAGTCCCAGCGTAAGGAACCGTACTTATTCAGTGACCCCACGAAGGCCTGTAATTCCCTTATTCCACTGTAGCCTTGAAATCAAATCATTCTCTTCATCTGCCTGAAAACCTATGTGGAGCCTGGGAATTAATTACCTATCATGGCACTACAATAACAAAGCCCCCCAAAAAGGACAGAACATGTGTTTTATATCAAAAAATTCTTTTTTAACAGCATTCCATGGTTTTCTTGTTGCAAAAGGACATTCATAAAACAAGATCTAGTGTGATTTAAATCTTTACAGCTGGCTCAAATATCAATGTGAACAAAAATCTTTGTAGCTCCAATTTCTGGTTTTTGTCATATTTTGAACAATGCCTTTAATAAAAAACAAACATTGAAAGTAGAAAAGAGTCGTTGATAGGCTGTTTAAACCCAGAATATTTCTGACTTAGTACTAGTCCCTCATCTAAGACATGTGTGGCAACTACTGCAAAATGGCCTTCAGAAAGGTCAGTTTCCTCTTAGGATGGAAAAAAAAGAAAAGATCTCTCAGACATAACTATACATATAAATAAAATATGGTGCATAAATATTTAAATGTTTTAAACCACATCAGAGTGTGAATGACTGACTGACTACTCTGTGCCTTGAAGGAATATTCTGAATTGAAAAAATGGAATTGTATATTTGATTAAGTAGAGCCATATGTCGCATAGTATATTGCTGACAGGTACATTCTATGAATAGTTGGTACTGATTTATACATGGATTTGGCAATGTTAACATGAGCCACAGGAGGATATACTTCTGTAATTGTTGCTGTAATTTTCTCGTTTCCTCTCATGTCAAGGGTACTTGCCACCATGTTCTGATGTGGTGGGTATCTAGCCCTGACTATTCAAGATTAAAAACTTGCATTACTTTAAAATTAGGGAACAGTTAACACACAATTGAGTTCAAAACAGCTTATTAAATTAGTTATTACCAAGACGTTTTGTATGTGGCTTTACCTCCAGATCTGGAGGGGTGGACTGCACCGGGAGGGAATGAAATTCCCAATGATAATCATTATTTGATGTTTGCTGTTTGCACAAAGTACAATATAAATGTTGCCAACTGGAAGCATGAATTTAATAAGCAGGAAAGGTTATTTGAATTCTCCACATATTTTTTTACTGGATTAATACCTGAAATAAGTAATATTGTACTCAGTGGACATGCAGATGAAGCATGAAGCAATTTGCCCCTGCACCTTTAGGTCAAGAGTTCAGGATTACCAGAAGCCTCTGCCAGTGTCTTTGTTTCTTAGATGTGGACTGATTTTTTGTTGTTGTGGTTTAAGTAATGATGAACATTTTGAAAGAAGATAGGTGTAAAAAACACCAGGCATACAACTTGCTTTATACTTCTAAGTCACATGCTGAAAATCTGAGAGGATTAGCAGTTTTTAAAGACAGTTTCCCCTTTTGACGTATTTCACTGTCTAGTCTGAAATCCTTGTTTAAGTACAAGCAGAAACAGACTAATGTACATCTAAATGCAAGGCTAAAATAATTGTTTTAATAATCAAATAACTGGGCAGGGAACGTTAGGATTTTTAAAATTTAGTCTTATTATTTAATAATAACACGCAGAGTATCTAGTGAGAGAAAAAATGTGTGTCTCCTGTGAGTATACCTGGGGGTATGTTGGTTTTTTTCCCATTTACTTGGTCATTTAAGCCTTCACAAGTTATTTTATAGCATTGGTGTCCTGTGGTATCTAGATACACGGGGTGAGGTGAGAAAACAGCTCCCCAGGTACAGTTCTAAGTGAGTATTCCCAGGGAGAAAAACTTTGTGGTCTCACATGGCAAATGTTTTCCCAGGCCCCTCAGAAGTTATAAAAGCTCCTGTTTTAAACCTGTTTTAAACCATTAGAACTTCTTTTCCTTGAGGTCTGTGTGGTGCTTAACCTTTCTGTTGGCAGTTGCATAAGTTTTCTTAATGAGATGGGATCAGTCAAAATGACATCTGTGATCACAGTAGTTTACCCATATTTTTACCGTAAGCACGGAGAACAAAGGAAAAAGGTACAGAAAATTTGCATGTCGTTTCAGTTTACCTTTCTAGCTGAGAGCATCAGGATACTGCCGTAAGAATGAAGTTTAAACTATCAGAAGGAAAGTGTTCTTTTCTCTCAGAGGAGTTTTGAGGGAGATGAGAAATTGCTAAAAACACTTTAAAATTTTTGATTCAAAAAACATTACTAGGTGCTAGAAAGAGAGAGAGTGTGTGTATGCGTTGGAGAGAGAGAAAAAGGCTTGCACAGGTCTTCGGTAGCTTGTGAAGCACACAGAAAATAACTTTGTGCATATAAAGAACCCTAGGCTTTTATAGTGGTGTGTTTTTTTTCCAGATCCAGCTTTGAAATAGCTGTGAGTTGAGATGTGTGTCTTGATTTAAGCCCAGCTGGCAACCCAGAACCACGCAGCCGCTTGCTCACTCCCTCCCCTTTCTCCCCCAGCTCCCAGAAGGATGGGGAGGAGAATCAAAGGAATGTGACTCCCACAGGTTGAGATAAGAGCAGTCCAGTAACTAAGGTATAACACAAACCACTGCTGCTGCCACCAATAATAATGATAAGGGAAATAACAAGGGGAAAGAATACAACCACTCACCACCCACTGACCGATACCCAGCCCGACTCGAGCATTGATCTGCTGTGGCCAAGTTCTATTTGGTTTTATTATGTCTAATTTCTCTGCACTCTCTTTTATTAATCAAAATTTCCTCACTCCATCCTTTGCTATTTTTTTCTTTAATTTTTTTGTTGTTGTTGTTTTTACTTTCTGCTTATCCTAGAAGCTTCTGCTGTCAGACTTTAGCAGCAAATTTGAGATCCAGTTACGTATGATGGGTACATGGAACTTCTGTAGTTCCTCAGGCAACAAGAAGCTTGGGAGGTACTGTCTGGCAAAAATCCCCTGCATTTACTGCAGTTAGAAGAAAAGTTTCCTAGAAACTTGCCTGTACAGTGTGTAGTTGCCATACTGAGCTAAAATATTCCCAGGCTTCTTTGGTGATCCTTTAGTCAGCTGTTATTATCAAGACTTGAGGTATCAGTAGCTCTCTCTTAAGCCTGGCAGCATGGAGCAATGCCGTATTCACAGAATTGTATCATAGAATGGTTAGGGGTGGAAGGGACTTTAAAGATCATCTGTTCCAGCCCCACTGCTATGGGCAGGGACACCTCCCACTAGACCAGGTTGCTCAAAGCCCTGTCCGACCTGGCCTTGAACCCTGCCAGGAACAGGGCAGCCACAGCTTCTCTGGGCAACCTGTGCCAGTGTCTCACCACCTTCATAGTGAAGAATTTCTTCTTAATATCTAATCTAAATCTACCCTCCGCCAGTTTAAAGCCACTCTCCCTTGTCCTGTTGCTGTGTGCCATTGTAAAAAGTCCCTCTCCAGATTTTTTGTAGGTCCCCTTAAGTACTGGAAGATTGCTGTTATGTCTCCCGTGAGCCTTCTTTTCTCTAGGCTGAACAAGCCCAGCTCCCTCAGCCTGTCTTCATAGGAGAGGTGTTTCAGCTATTTGCGCAGATTTGTGGCCTCGTCTAGACTCACTTGAAGCAGTCCATGTTCCTCATGTGTTGATGTTTCTTTGATTAAAACATTGGAAGTGTTATAATTTGAGATTAAAATACCTCTTTTGGTTTACTTTGAGAAATGTTGCTGTTAAAAGCAGTAGATTCTAGTAGCAAATCTAGAATTTAAGACTAATGATTAACGACCATCATTTATAAGCACCAAAATGTGTGCAAGTCTTGTTATAATTTCTGATGGGATAACATTCCCCCAGTACAATTTAGGAGTTCTGTACATGCCAAAAACTTGCTAAATTCTCTTTTCCCTCTGGAAAATACAAGAACCTACAGTTTTTGTTAACTTACTTGAAACTAAGTTAGTTATTCAGGTAAAAAGAAGGAAGTTGACAATCTTCTGATATTGTGCTTCCAGTCTCTGTGTAATTGGCAAGAAAATGTATTGGAGTAAAAACAATAACCAACAATTTCTTCAATTCCCCATGGGTTATAAATAGATTTGACTATAACAACATGTTGAGCTCTGTGGATAGTAAATCCTCCCTTTTAAAAAGAACATTTTGCAAAGCTGTAACAGGAAAATATATATATTATACATGTGGTAGACCTATGAGTATGTGGGTATGGCAGCTTGACAGTAGAAAGTCATAGATCTGCCACTAGAAAATGCCAAAATAAATTCTGCACTCTGAAGTGGCACTGTAAATGTCAGCCTTTAGCATACCCAGATCTGCTACTGGATGTGATACAGACATATTGCTCTGTAATGAGTTTTACTGGTTTGAAAAAGTGAGATTTTGGTTATGCTTCCCTGAATCTTGTTTCACAGAAGATACCTGATCTTATGCAGAAAAATTAATGAGATTTGAAGAGAAGCTTTAATGTAAATATGCTTAAATCTGCTAGGGTGAATATGGTTTTTGCACAAATGCTCCCAGCCAACCATTCTGACATCCAGTCACAAAAGGAATTGCAACCTGCCTGTACCTTATGTTCTTCTAAAGTTAATAACAGTTGTGAACGTGCATTCAAGCTCAAATACCTTGCACACTTCACTTTTCAGAAAATCTGTTCCATGTGTGTCACCCAGCAGTCTGCTACAAGCAATGTACGAAACAGTTCTTCATGGGTAACTAATGATCCATAGGGGTCTATGAGGAAAAAATTTTCTCTCTCTCTTGCTTGATCTCTGAATTTCTGCATGCTTCCGGGCACATTGGTATCAAAGAACTAGAAACCCATATGATCGTAGACAGAGGAGGTGCTAGCTTTATTTTGTCTGTTTAAAATGTCCACTGAGAGAGCAAGGAGGGAAACAGAATCAGCTCTCAAAGACCATGAAGGGCCCATAAGTTGGAGCAAACATCATGGGAAGAAAGGATGAGAAAAGAGCAGCTGGGCTATATTGCGGAGAGAAGAAAACCAACCAACAATAAAGCATTGTCAAAAGTATGTGCTAGGAAAGATGGGTCAAAAAGAGGTAACAAAAAGAAGAAGATGAAGAGTTCTTTGTGTTATACCCATTAAATTGCGTGAAGACTATCCAAATGTTGCCTTGTTGGAGTAATTTTTATGGTTGCTAGATAGTTGCTTGAAAGTGGGAGGTGCCAGCCCAGTAATGGCTAGGACAGAAATATATGAGAGATGATCTCCAAATCAAATTGTCAGTCACACTTTGACCTCTCCTGTATAGGGTTCATGCCTTCAGGGACGGAAGACCTGTAGCTCTGGTAATTTTTATGACTATCATATAATCTCATTGTGTCAACAAAGTGACAAGCAGCCAGATGAAAAACAGAAAGAGAGGGATGGAAGGATGCTGCAAGCAGGAGAAAAAGTATTGTAGAATATAAAATGCTTTAAAACCTGTAACAGTTTTTTGTTTTTCTTATTAGACTGTGTCAAATTGCATGGTGCATTTTCAGACTAGCCTGCTTTTTCTTTTTCCTTTTTTTAAAGTGTTGTGGTATCAGCAGAGTGTCTTCTGCTCCTGACCGACCACAGCATCTCAAAGAAGCAGCAGCTGGGGAAGAGGAAGTGCAGCCTGTTTGCCTGAGAGATCAGCTGTCAGCATGGAGAAACCTCTTCATGCTGTTCAGCCTGCAGTGCCCCATCTGCCCTATGTGATCTGTCATTTCCCACTGAATTTAATTTCATTGAAGTCTTTCACATAGATGAGGAAATCAAGTTTTTATTGTAGTTTTAAATTTCTAAGTATTACAGAAACATAAAGTAAAATATGTTAAGTCTTAGCATATATTTTGTCAACCCAAACACCTTTTTTTTTTGCAGAGAGTAGAGTACTATGAGACCAAAGCTAATGGCAAGAGATCTTGAAGCATTTCTGTGTTGTAACAGTCGCCACTGGGCAGTCAGCTGCCAAATGTCTTCCAATTAATCTGATGCTTACTGGTTTTCATATCCCTTTCCTTTCAGAACCAATGCCCTGAGGCAGAGGAGTTGGTCTTCAGCCATTTTGTGATCTGTAATGACACACAAGAGACACTGAGGTTTGGCCAGGTGGATACTGATGAAAATATTTTGCTGGCTAGTCTCCACAGTCACCAGTACAGCTGGCGCTCTCACAAGTCCCCACAGGTATGTCAGAAACAGCCCTTTGAATGCAGCAGTTACTAAAGCTGGCTGGTGGCTTTATGGCTTTCTCTATGGTCTCAACTATCTCTAAAGCTCTGGTTCCTTCAGGAGTCAAATGCCGGGGCTGCATCAGAGAGAAAAGGTAAACAAAAAGTGAGGAAAGCCAGAAGTGTTTAGAAGTTACTCGAGGGTAGAACTGGATGTGCAAGACCGCTTTTTGTTAAACTGAGCAGTTGTGGTAACTGAAGCTTCTGAAAAAGAAGCAAAGGAAGATCGCTTGCCAGGTTTTTATAACTAAGTGATCAGTGTCTGTTTTCTGTGATGTACATTAGAGGTTTGGGGAATTTTTTTTAATGAATTATTTTTACCAGAAGCATCTGTTCCTGAAATTGTTTGCAGAACAGGGTCAAACTGGACAAATCTCTCAACTCAGCATGTGCTTGCATTAGAAAAGATTTTTTAAATTGTCAGAAACACCCCACTTACAAAGTTTAAATAATGCCATTTCTGTTTCTTGGGTGTTTTTTTAAGGATAAACAGTGAAACTGAAGTAAACTATTTTAAAATTATCTTCAGGAAATATTTCAATGAAACCATGTTGTTGTTTTTTGTGAGTGGTGGTGAAAAATGGATTTTTCATCTTGATTCAAGACAGGGCAAGAATTTAAATCTAAAAATAAGCATTTATGAGACAGCAAAGCCATTTCTTCTCTCTTTTTAATATATACCCATCTCCTGCTGAGTGGGAGACTAGAGACCTGTGCCACCCTACTTGATGAGCAGTAGTCCTGCACTGCACAGTTGCTAAAACTTTTATAGCTCGTGGGAGAAGTGTAATGGTTGGGTGTTCCTAACTCTTCCAGGGCCATGGAAAATACCAGCCTTAGCATGCGAAAAAGGTGAAATTTGGCTGGTAATTCTAAACAGGAGCTGTGCCCACTTTCACTGCTGACAACTTTCAAGTTTCTTTGAGAGGCAGAGATGGCCAATTTACTGTGTTTTTCTTTCATATGTCAGTTGCTGATATGCAAAACTACTGAATTTTACATAAATACAGTAATCTGTGCAGAGCAAATTCAGCCAGACTAAACAGTTGAAGTTGACGCTGAAGTCAAGGCCTTAGTCAAGAGAAAGCAGCCTAATAAAGGACAGTCTCACCCCAGGGATAGAGGAGTTGTTTAAATGGTGTGTGCTGGTGTCATAGTACACAGAGGGGGGACCTTTGGAGACACAGACACTGGAGTACTGCGTGGCCCTTGTTGCGTTTTCGAAAAGGACATGTGTTTTCTCATACAAACAAATGCCTGTGATGTCCCATAACAGTTTTTTGCATCCGTTTTCTGGTTACTGATATAAAATTGTCCAGTTGGAAGAATCCTATTTTTGACCATCATTCTAGGTAGTTCTACTAATGGTGTCGTTCTGATTATGGTGTATTTCTAATAATGGTGTATTTCTGATGGTGGTGCAAACTCTAAAGAGTTTTGAAAATGAAGGTTAATGAAGGTTATCTGAAGCAGAGTGAAAAGTAGAAGAGTTAAAATTGCTGCTTGTTTGCTGATACTTCCTATCTGTTCCAGCTGAGCTGCCAAAGACCACCAGCCCAACATATGGCATTAGCCATCTAACACCTGCAGAACTTTAATATTTAAACATTGATCTTTAGCTTGTCCTTTCAGTCACAGGCTTGAGCAGTGCAAAATATTCTTTTTCCATGGCCACTATGTAAGTCTGTTATTAAATGAAAAATAAAAGTGTAGGATGAAAGGTGGAGAAATCCAGCATTAAACCAAATCACACATTAGGGAGTGGGTGAGGTGACAGTAGGAACTTAAGAGTCATTTTTCAGATATTCATTCTTCAGCTAAAAGTTGGTGATGTCAAAGGGTTTCCCCGTTCTGTTTTGCTCTGATCAGATTCAGATTCAGGGAACAACTGGGCTCATAAACAGTCAGGAGTGTCCTGGTGGATTCCCATGTCCCAGGAGATGGTGAATCTAACAACAGCTCCCTCCTCCTCACTCAACCACATTGTTGGCAGCAGGCTCTTCTAGTAGAGGGGCTGTAACTCCCTTGTCCCAGCCTTTGGAATCATTTCAAGAATATTTCTGCTCTTTAAATGTTTTTAACAGCCATTTCTTAATGGGAAATTTAGAGACTAAAAAATAGCACTGAGGTAATTTCACTGAAAAATATAAGGCTTTCCACACACTATTTAGATAGAAGCAAATTTTCATTACAAAGGTCAGAGAATCTTGGCATCCATCTGTAAGGTTTGTTCATTTGGTTAATGCTAAATATGAATCGCTAAATTTCGCATGCTTCTGAATGGCAGTTCGTCTAAACAGTCTAAACAGCACAATCCTTTGTCAGTTTAGATCATACGAAATAAGTTTGTTTAAATATTATTGTCATGTAAATTTTTTCAGTGATTAATACAAATCCTTGAAATGAAAACAAAGACTCAATCAAGACATCAGGTTGTCCCTATTATGCTATGGCACTTTTCTAATTGTTTCCATGCAAGACTATCTAACAGCTTGTTATCCAAAGGTCAGAATAATGCCCAAGCATGGACAAACCCTCCAAGTGTCATATTCGTGGAATGCTAGATGACTTCATAGTTATGAAATTATTTCATTTCTCATGATAATTCCTGACTTGCCAAGTTAGTGAATTTTAAGAACTCTGAGAGCAGATTGTAAGATAAATGTGAAATAATCCATACTTCTGGAGTCAGGGACTTCCCTCCAGGCATTAGTTCATATTTGACTTACTTGACTTACTCTTGGGGATAAAATGAGTTAGGACAAGGTCTTAGATACCACATTCTCTTACTGGGAAAGAAAACCAACTTGCACAACTTCAGCTGGCTCATGTTTCTTGTTACACAGGCACTAAGAAGCAGCGGTTGCCATGAAATACTTTATTTAACCTCTGCAAAATGTTTTTCTAGTATGGCAAGGCAGTTCAGTTAAATGAAAATAAATAGTTTTAAAAGGATTGTATTTCTTTCACATTCACATCAAGAAAATTCTCCGTTTTTCTTTTGTTGATAATTAAGCATAGTGAGAGATGCAGTAATTGCCCATTTGAATTATTTAACATATATATACCTAAAGTTATTTTTGTAGTAGCTCATAGTTATATTCTATATAATGCTTTATTTACATTTAGAATTAATATTAATGAAGCTACAATAGTCTGTAATTAAAAACTGTTTTTCATGTTACAAAATCAGCTATAGCACACCAAGGATTTGGATTTATCAGCTATTGATGGTGTCCCTCCAACTGTTTGGCTTAACTTAAAGCTCCTTCCTTCCTTCATTTTTTCACAGCCCGGATATTCTACATTTCAGGGAACCTAACCTTTCCCTTTTAACTTTCGCTCTGATTCCTGCAGGTCTCGCTAGTTTGGCTAATATTTCAGTAATAAGTCTGAGGTCCAATGCGCTCTCTTCTATTCTGCTCCATCCCCCACGTTTTCCTCAGATTTCATGAGGTTTTGTCCTTCCTTAGGGATAAGACACCCCCAACTATATAGTCCCTTTCAGAGTTGGGGTAAGTCCAAAACTGATGATATTTAAGGCTTTAAGCAATTCTAGCCAAAGTTGCCAGACCTTACGAGTTCCTTTTGCAGATTTTAATGAAAGTTAGGTCTGTTAGATATCATTAAAAGGGAAGAGAAGCTACATCACTCCTGTGCCTTACAGACAACACTGGCTCCTACGTTATTATTGGATCCAGTCTGCGCTCCTTATCTTGATCTTCAAGTTGCTTTGTGGGATGGGCCCCAGTTATGTCAAAAGTCATGTTTGTCTCCAAGACAGCTGTGCTTTTTAGGAGAACTGGAGCATATGATACATAGGGTGAAACTCCGAAGTTAGGAGAGATCAGACCTTCCTAGCAATTTACTCAGTTAAGGAATTCTGTCTTGCAAGACAGTAGGCAGTCAGAGGGTCACACTGGGGATCACAGCAAATGTAAAACCCAGCTATTCACATGAGAGTCCCATGAACATATTCGGCAGAGATCATTTCCTTGTGAATAAACAGTAGAAATCTTCTATAACATGCTAGTTATTACTAGTTATTCTCCCCACACTCAAACTTCAGCAGAGTCCTCTGCAAAAGCAAAGAATAATGGATCTATATTCATTATTTTACTTCCTAAGCAAAACATAATGTTTGTTGCATAGGAGAAGTCTGCATTTAAAGTAGCAGCTCCTGACCTTTCTCCAGAGCCTTCCTCCAAGGTTATGATGCCCATTTTCACTTTTCACCATCCTTGACTTGAAACAGTTGAGAAGTGTAGTGGGTAAAAATTAGTTCCTATGTTGATTTGGGCAATGACTTCAGTGAGAATGTGGTGAAATTACTGGTTATAAACATTATAGTTTTATTTCATATCAAAGTAGGTAAATATGCCTGAAACAGCTCTCTGTCACTTTATTGCTACTTACATAGAATTTGGGGGAGAACATCTCTTATCATTTGCTTTTCTGTTCTTCTAAATGCACACTTATAAATTTTTTAATAGCTATTAGTGGTTAGTATATTAGTAATACCTTCTCTGAAACCCTTTTAAAGTTGTTTTTCTCTTATTTTAAATAGTGTGCCTGCATAGCACAACTTTTTCTAGATTTTTATAAACATAATTTTTAAAGGTAGATGTAGATTTGGAAATAGCTTTAAGAATCTCCTCCTACAAAGAAAAGACTGAAGCCAAATTTTCATGTATGTTGCATGTCCAGCAGGATCATAATTCAATGTTATTTATTTCGAAGTTGCCATTCTTTCAGGTGTTGGGTTATATAAAGTATAAGATGATATACAATACTCTGTGGAAACTGTGAACTTAGAACCTGTCACTTTTATTTTGGGATATTTTCCTGTCTTATTGTTTAGGGATCTTACAAATTCTCTGCACAACTTTTTGTACTTTATATAATCCTTCACAGGTCATTTACAGAATAACATCAGGGGGAAAAAAAAAACAACAAAAAAAAAACCAAAAAAAAGCTGGTTTATGCTGTTTTACATTTTTCAAGTAGTGACAAATGTATTGTGGCTTTCCTTTGGAGTCCTGCATCTGAAATCAATGGTTATACTATGTTATATGTAATTGACTCTCTAGATAATATCTGGAGCAGATAAAGATTGGTATCATCCATGAATCACATGAACCCTGATAATTTGGTTACTGTTCCTTAATCAGAAGACTCTTTTCCACGATGTGTAGAGCTAGGTTTACCCGTGAGGTTCAGACCGGCTTTGCAGACTATGTTGAGGCTCACAACATCTCCAGGACACCCCAAGGCTCAGAGTTTTATCTACCAAGTGTGACATTTTTTGCTACTAGCCAGCATGGGATTATGGAAATTGCTTTCTCCCATGCTCTGCACTGCCCTTCTGTCTTACAAGGCCCAATGATGTAGAACTGGTCAGATCTCCCAGGTCCATGAGAAAATGAAGCCAAACTGAAATTCAAACTGAATTGGTGGTCGTTGTATCTGACAATGTGCAGAATGAACATTTCAATCACTGTTTTCCCAAATACTAATTAATTTTATTGTGGCATATCATAATCCTGGTCGAGAGCCTCCTTGTATCCTGAACCAAAAACCATAAAATGCTGATCATCCTTCTCCTTTAATTTTTCAATGAAAACTTACTATACCTTCAAGACTTAGAATTCAGCTCCCATCTCCAGGTCTCCATTTCCTCCATGTTTCTGTGTCATCACAGCTTTTATTTTACTGTCTTATATCTCTTAGAAAAAAATGACTGCTTCCACACCATTAACCAGGTCCTCACTTGATTCCTCACAGTCTCTCGAGTCGAGAGTAATAACCCTTATTCTTCCCCAAAAGCATTTTCTAGTTTCACTTAGAAGACAGATGTAATCTAACTACAGTGAAACTAAGCTAACTTTGGTTGATCTACAAGCAAAGTAGAAATCAAATTTGTATCACTAAGCATTTTGAGGCCACAAGCTTTAAATTACTTACACAGCTGGAAAATGCTGCCTTTTCTGGACAGACTCCCTTCTTAGTCTCATTTTTAATCCCCCATTTTAGTCTTCATGCCTTGTCATATGACACTTAGCCTTATTTACTCAGAACTTATCCTTCACTCACACAGCTAGCTGAAAACTTAAGTGAATTTTGAGGAGTACATAGAAACATTCTGTAAAGAGACATTGTAAAGAATACAGGTTTTCTAGACATTTACTCCAAAAGGAGCAGCTTCACCTTAGTCTGCCTCCCTGAAGGTAATTTCTTTCCTTCTTGAAACAGAAATCTATAATGGCTCAGATTTAAAAATCCAAACCTGTCAAAATCTAGTCAAAACAAAAAACTCTGTGTTATCTGTTTATCCATTTTCCTAAAAGAAAATGCAGAAATCAAATGGTTACACAAATGAGTGCCTGTTTTCACATGTACAATAGATAGTCTGTTTTAAATTCTCTCTAGACTAGAAGTTGCCACTAATCACTGGATTATATTTATTAGAATGCTTTTGAAGTCCATTGAATATTTTTTTTTAACTTTATGCAATGACTTCTCTTTTCTCCTAATATATGTACCATGCGTAGCTGTACTTGTTGAACTTTCTCTAAGCAGAGTATCTAATAAATACTTAGAATTCACTTAAAGTGTGATAAATGAAAGGGAGTTTCATGGCAATTACTGTGAATCTGTAGTATTTGGTCAGGTTTAGAGCTCTGCCTTGTTGAGTATCTAACGCCATCTATTACGACGTCTTCTGCTAAAATAATGTTAAACCTGATTACTTAATTTTCTAAAATTGCTTCAATTTTTATTTCCTGCCATATATCTCTGTATCGCTTAGTGTCATTTGCTAATTACTTCTAGGCATGTTTTCCAGAAATCTCACATTTAAATGACTGATTTGCCCAGAGATCCCTTTGCATTTTCATGGAATGCAGTTTCTTGGCTCAGAAGTAAACTTATGCAGTACCCAATTCTTACATTGTTATGTCACTAATACAAATATACTGGATATCTTTAATTTACAGAGGCTGTTCCCGTTGTATGTAGCATTTACCCGTATGTGTATGTGTATATCTTTTTTGTTTCGCTTTCTGAACCATGAAGTTAAATGCAGACTAATCATTATGTTACAAAGAAAATTAGTAAGGCAACATTTGTGTTCTAATGACTGCTCAGGAAAAGCTGACAGCGCCTTCCTTGGGAACATTCAGCTCGTGAGCAAAGCTGTTTATACAGGGTGAGAGACATCCTAATGTTGGAGCTACATAAAATTACTGAACATCAATTATGGCATTTATATGACATCTGTCTTTGGAGCACACCATGTTTTGTGTGCCTTATAGCTTTAGTACCTTTTCTCATTATTTGGCTGTCATTTCAAGCTACCAGTCTCTCCAAAGTAAACAGTTTTCTTGTTTCTCTTCGTTTTCATATGTGATGAGATTTATTCCCAGCTGCCTCTGTAAGAAACTGAACTGATTCCAACCACTGCAGTTGGACTTTTTTGTTTTGTTTTGTTTTTCCTTTTCTGTAACTAATACTTAAGAATTAAAGTGACGTGTTTGTTTACGACTTTGAGTGTCCTAGTGCATAGCTTCCCTCAATGTATTCTAGAATATTATGCTCTGCCCAGCCATGTGCACATCCAGATGCATGCCCATGTTCACACTGGCACATATTAGCCTTTGTGCTTCCAGCATAAAACTAATTTGAATCTGAACGCAACAGTCATCACTCTTGCAAATTCAAAAGCCACCCACTGAATGGATGTTATTGTTCTGTGTGTAACTTGTGCTGAGGATACCACAAATTGCAAACAGTCTACTGAGTTGTAATGTCTTTGAAAGTTGTTGCTGCGGTTGTTTCTTAAAACAATGAAAAACCCCATCATCCAGCCCTTCACTAAGTCCATCTGGCCAGACCCATGGCCAGTGCTATCTCTTTCTAGAAACAAATCACGTGAGAACATCGTATTTACAAGGTTCAATTTTTGCTAGTATAAATAATTTGGGCCTGATCCTGGTCTTAATTACTTAAATTAATTAATGACAGATGTCCAAAATCAGAGTGAAATTCAACCCTTGAGAGAATTCCCACAAGGCCTTTATATAACTGTCTTAAAGGACTTAAGTGATGCTTAGGCTCTCTGCTGGCCCTCTGCAAAGAATAAGTTTTACCCAGAATGCTTATTGCTTTGATCCCTTATATGTAACTCACATCCTTAAGTTTGCACAGCCACAAAAGATCTATACAGAACTAAATAGCCAGATCTTCAGCTGGTGTAAATTTATGTAACTTCATTGACCTACATGGAACAGTACCAATTTTCACTACTCTGGCTTAAAGAATCTCCATGGGATAGAGGTAAGTGCGTATGGTGGGTAAATGGATGAAAGGCTCTTCAAATGATGAAAGACTATATTGCTCTGGAAGTGATTTAAGTTAAACTGGAAAAAAGCCACTCCTTTTCCGGAATAAATCACACAGGGAGTATAATTATGCAGTTAAATTTCTTCTCATGCAGTCAAGCTTGAACTTGCCACCACATTTGTGTAAGAAATGAAATATTTCCCATCTCTCAGCAATATACTAAGTTCTACATTTAATGCACATTTATATGTGAGCTGTACACGTAGACATACAGATTTTCATCTTTATTTTGAAGGGAAGAGTATTTGTAATTTTTTCTCTTATTCTGAAGGCCAGAAATTTCATCTGGACCGCATTCCCTATCACCTTGCTGATAATTAAGAGGGTGGATTTCTAGAACAATTTCAAGGGCACTAAAGAAAACCTCTTATTTCCTGTTTTATCTTTCTAGTCTACATACTGTTTTTTTCTGAAGCAGTTGTGTGCTGGATTTTTACCATCCCAAATACATTGTTAAAGCAGGTAATTTCTAGGCATGCATGATGCAGAGCTATCTTACAGTATTTTTGATTCTTCTGCTTGTATCTGAAATCACAGAATCACAGAATGAGTGGATCAGTCAGCGAACTGGTGTGCTTAGCATTGCTGAGTTTTAAAGCCAAGAATATTTTTCTGTCATGGGAATTCCTAGCCTACTGAAAGGCTTCCCCCCCACCCCCCCCCAGTTATGTATTGAAGCAGTAATTGCTTTCTTTCCAGCTGTTACACATCTGTATTGAAGGCTGGGGAAACTGGCGGTGGTCTGAACCATTCAGTGTGGACAATACAGGGACCTTTATTCGTACCATTCAGTACAAGGGCCGGACAGCATCACTTATTATCAAAGTTCAGCAGCTCAGTGGAGTGCAAAAGCAAGTAAGTATTTGATCCAGTTTGGAAAAAATAACATGGGCAATTCACGAATTAGTCACCTTGTTATTTATTCTCTCCTACTGGGATCTGAAAAAAAAACACCCCACACTAAATATAGCGGTCTTCTGGGGGCGTTCTGGGGAGATTTTGCAAATTTTTCTTCACTTTCATATGTATATTAACATTTAAAATTTCAATTGCCACCATGTATTTTACATATTCTAGTAAACATCTCTGCATGGTTTGTAAGTTTTGACAGTTTTGTTAAAGGAGAAAGAAGTAATGACCCAATTAACATTTGAAAATAGGCTTCTGTGCAGTGACTTTTCACATACTATCTTTGTAAAGAGATCTTTAATAACACCACAGTCCAGAAGCCTGCATTGGCAGAAGCCAGAGCATGTGGTGGACGTAACATGTTCAGCTCATGGATACGACAGAGCACCTTATGTTATGCAACAGAAATATACCTTCTCAGATGAGAACAGTGCCTGGTGTTTTACTGAAAGCCCTGCTGAGACTTTGCTTGGTAGGTTGTAGCTAGAGTGTGCACCCTCCTTAATGAAAAGCAAATGAAGATGGTTACACAGGGATACACGTGGAATACTGTTTCTTCATATAGCTTACAAAAAGTCAGCTATATGTTCTATGATAAACAATTCGTGTATGATGGACAGCAACAACTCTGAGTCTAATTTGATGATTTTCTAGGTGGGTGCACTTAAATACAGAAATAGGGTACAGCCATTTAATGGAATTATAAGCATTAAAACAGGAAACATACTGAAAGGTCTAGAACGCTGGATTGTGCTGGGAAAGTGAGGCGTCAGTAGAAACCTTTCACTGTGTCTGCTCAGAAAGGGCTCAGCATTCAGAGACCATCACGGTACTCTTAAAATCCAGTCCAGAGCTATGTCAGCCTTGGGCAGTACTGCTGAGTTCAGTGGGAACGAAAGTGGATATGTTACATGTTTCTCTCAAGCCCGGATACTGCGTTAGCAATATTTCAGGCATTTTAATGCCTAGGTTTCTATGAAATTGCACATACATTTGGCCAACAAAAATAATGTTTTACCATTCATTGCCTTCAGCAGTGCTTGGGAAAACCTAAAATAGGGAGATTATTCTTGTACAGGTTTTCAGTCTGTAATTCCATTTTGACCTTTCTTTTTCACCATTGTTATATATGAGCTGCATATTTTTGTGTTTTAGATCCTAATCTGTGGAAGGCAGACTGTCTGTAGTTACCTTTCCGAAAGTATTGAACTGAAAGTGGTTCAGCATTACATTAGCCAGGATGGACAGGCCATAGTAAAAGAACACATCAACTGCCTCGCAGCCAAGCAGAAGTTGCCTTCATATGTCCTAGAAAATAATGAGCTTACTGAACTGAGTGTGAAAGCTACAGGAGATGAAGACTGGTCCCGAGATGTATGTCTAAGTTCTAAACATACAGAACACAGCACTGTCATTCAGGTATGACTAGAAAGAGGTATATGGAATTATAGCATTAAAAATGTTTGAGAAAGCTGGGGACTTAGCATTTAGACTTCCGCTTAATATGATAAAATGTTGAACATTATCATCCTGAAATAATTTTAGTGTGATGCTGCTGATCTCTCTGTATACAGGTACCATCTTCAGAGAGTTCAATTACATATGTGTGGTGCACCATTTTGACTTTAGAGCCCAACTCTAATGCACAGCAACGATTAGTAAGTACACTTAATGTCTCTGAAATCTAAACTTTTATGCCTTACATGTCATATAATAAATCAAGGGTAGAATGACCTACTTGACAGATTTATTAATAGCTTGTTTCAACAGCTGTAATACTGGAATAAAATTAGCCTTGAATTGGTATATTATTTTCTTTTTGTAGATTGTTTTCAGCCCTCTTTTCATTGTAAGGAGCCATCTTCCAGACCCAATTATCATACATTTAGAGAAAAGAAGTCTGGGACTGAATGAAACACAAGTGATTCCAGGGAAAGGGCAGGAGAAAGCACTGCAAAATATAGAACCTGATCTTACACACCACCTGACATTTCAAGCCAGGTAAAATACTCGCTTTCCTTGAAAATGGTTCATTTGTATGGAAAAGAACTGTCGTGGTTTAAATCCAGTCAGGGAATTTGTTCACTCACTCCCAGTGAGTGGTGCTGGGCTGACAACAATCGAGGGCCCCCCCCACTGGGGGCTCTCCCTTTCCCCGCTCCCAGAGGAATGGGGAGGAGGATCGAAAGGGTGCAACTCCCACGGGTTGAGACAAGAACAGTCCAGCAACCAATGTACAACACAAATCACCACCGCTACCACCAACTAAAACAATGATAAGAGAAGATAACAAGGGAAGAGAATACGATGCCACCGGCCAAGAAAACGAGTTCCACCCGGAAGCCCCTGTCCTTCTGGGTAACTCCCAGTTACCCCCCACCCCGGCCATGACGTGCTGTGGTATGGAATACCTCCCTGGCTAGCCCGGGTCAGGCGCCCCATCTCTGCTTCCTCACAGCTTCACCTCCTCCCTGGCAGAGCATGAGCCTCACAAAGTCCTTGGTCAGGGTAAACTTCATTTAGCAACAACCGAAAACATCGGTATCACCAACATTGTTCCCAGGCTGTAAGTCAAAACACAGCACTGCTACACGTGGTAGCTACCACGAAGGAGAAACATGACTGCTACTGCTGAACCCAGGACAAGAAGGAATAATTTACACTGTAACTTCTGGTGCATTGTTTCTGAGAGCATAGCATATGCAAAGGAGATAGGACAGAACAAGCATATCTGGCCTGAAATTATATGACAGAACATACTAAATTTGGTATAACTGTCCTAAGCACATCAGCATTTTTTGCTTAAGCAGTCCATGGGTTTATGTTTTGAAAAATAAATTCCTAAATGATCTTGAAATATTTTTTGGGGAATACTGAAGAGTTTCTAGGGTCTCAGACGCAAAGGTCATTACGGTGTCATAACAAATTCATGTGTATCAGTTAATGCTCAGGAAGTTGTTAGACATTGTAACTTGATTCATCTGTGATTAGCTTGTGATTGTTCCTACTGTAGAGTAAGCTTGGAAAGCTTCATTTAAGAAAATGTTTATGCTACTAATCCTTAATCTTGTTGTGTGAGTGACTGAATCTGTTTTCAATGACAGGGAGGAAGATGATCCATCAGAGTGTGCAGTCCCTATTTCAACCACGCTAATTAAACAGATAGCGACTAAATCCCATGCAGGTGGCAATGTCAACCAAATACTGTCCGAGTTCTATGGCGCCACTAATCCTCCACAGCCTACATGGCCATATAATAGGAAGGATTCAGACGGGTAATTCTTTGCTAAACCTTCTTCATTGTTATTGCATTGCCTTTTCCGAATAAACTTAAATCACATTCAAGAAGACTATATGTGTTCAACATTGAATATGTTTTCAATAATTATGTGATTCCTGTATGTAAGCTGCAGAATCTGTCGTGGGTAGGAAAAAATAGAAGTCAGCCTAGGGGCTGCCCTTGATTACATTGTGAACATCAGCAAGGATTAAAGGAAAATTAATCTTTTTATTGTGAATGCACCTTCTTTACTGCAACTCTAGAGGCTGTTGTTTATTCAGCAGCTGTTTAAGTACAGAAACAGGGAGTTGCTGAGAAAAAACCAATGGAAATGTGATTTTATGACTCTAAAAGTTACAGGTTTAGTTCTGAAGGATAGTGATAATTCTGTGAACATATTTCTTTAATTGACCAACTTAGGTTGAGCTTATGCAGTTGAAAATATGTCTTTGTAGCCTACACATAGCTAAATCAGTCTGAAAGCATCTGGGTATGTTCCAGGATGATAAGAAGAGGTTGTTTTTCTTTTTCAGAACCAGAAAAGCCTTGCAAATTTCTGAAAATGACAGTTTATCATTTGTAATCTTGAATTCGTTATTCCTTTGACTATATTTGTTTGTTGGTTTGTTTTGGAACAGCAATGAGCAACTCTCCCAGTGGGATAGCCCAATGCGGGTAAAGCTGTCGGTGTGGAAACCGTGTGTTAAAACTCTGTTGATTGAACTTCTGCCCTGGGCTTTGCTTATCAATCAGTCCAGGTGGGACCTGTGGCTGTTTGAAGGAGAGAAGATTGTTCTTCAAGTACCTACTGGGAAAATAATTATACCTCCCAACTTTGAGGTAACTTTACCATTGATGTTAACAGGCATAGTTCTGGTAAACTTTCTGATTCTGAAGAATGGTTATTAATGCAGATGATTCCCACTTTCCAGTCACTGTTAGTCATATGATGAGTAGAAATAACAGTAGAAATTTGCCATGCTGACTCACCAAGTGAGTAGCACAACATACTAGCAATGTTTGAAGAGCAACATGTCTTAAAGATGCATAGTTAAAAATTTTTACTGCAGGAAGAAGACCTTCACGCCATCTGATTAAGCAGCCTACTCCCTCTCAATTCAGCCAGTGAATCTGCAAAATGTAGCAGCCCAAGTAAATTGCTGTAAAGGCCAAATAAAGTCTTTGGCCCCTGCTGTGCTGACCAGCCCCTGGGAAGTGGATTGAGCGCAGTAGCAAAGCTGACCACCTGGAAGGAATGTTTGGTTTGAGAGCGGTTTAGATTGAGTCATTTCGTATTTCATATGCTACCAGGAAACACTGGATAATGAGATAGGGTGAATTATAAACAAAGAAGATTCTTTAGGAGGGAGAAAGGCAAAAAATGAGGTTGACTTCATACTGGAAACTACATTTAACTCTAGTAGAGCTGTATCAAACTGCCAACAAGTAATAATCGGTCATTTTTCACTTGCAGGAAGCTTTTCAGGTTGGAATATACTGGGCAAACACTAATACTGTGCACAAATCAGTGGCAATTAAACTGGTTCATAATGTGACCTCCCCAAAATGGAAGGATGCCGATAATGGGGAAGTAGTAACATTGGATGAAGAAGGTTTTGTTGAAGCTGAGATAAAACTTGGTGCTTTTCCAGGTCATCAAAAGGTTAGAAGAAAATTATCCTGATTTATAACTTTATCATTTAAAAACTAAGTCAAATAGTGAATGAAAGCAATCAAGTGTAAGCAGTGTGAAAGCTCCTCCCTAATTATGTTAATGAGAGTATAAACAGTGTATGAAGTATAATTTAAAGAATTACATCTCCAAATCATTCTGCCCAACTCATAAAGATAATACAGTATTTCCTGGAAAATAATTAATGAATTTTCTATCTTGTTTGGCAAACATTGATAGATGCAACTTCAAAAGTATTTGATGTGGCTCCAGCTACAAAGTGTGTGGATATAGATGGGATTTCCACAGTTAAAAAGAAAATGGCAGATCTGCCACTTTATTTTATGGTTTTGTCTGTGACCTCATCATCTTCTTTATTGTCTTACAGTTGTGTCAGTTCTGCATTTCTTCAATGGTTCGACAAGGTATACAAATTTTACAAATAGAAGATAAGACAACAGTGATCAATAGTACACCATATCAAATCTATTATAGGCCACAGCTTTCAATTTCCAAAACCCACTCAGGAGAAGAGGTAAAGCACTGTCGGTACTGGTTTGCTTGTCATCTGCAGTATGTTTAGATTTGTATGGTTTCAGCTGCATATAGAAGAGCTTGAACAGAAATCTTTAGACATAACAATGCTAAAGTATTTAAAGTACAGAATCCTGGGTAAATTCAACTCCAGTAATTAACTGGGATCAGGAATCTGTGCAAAGCAGGAGATTCTTGCACATTGCAGAATTAGTTCTGCCTGTTCTCCATCTGTTCAGGCACTAATGGCCATTTCTGTAAAACAGGCAGCGTAATCCGTAGTAGCTGTTGAAATTGTTCTCAGAATTTTCACTGAGTTTGCGTGTAAAAGAGGTGCATTGGCCTGGCAGGCTGAAAACTTTTTGTTATTCTTTTGGGAAGATTCCAGTTATCTGAACAAAGCTGCAAAACTAGAGACGTGCCCAAAGTTTATGTATTTCAGCAAACTGCATCAAATTGTGAATATCATTTTTCTAATAATTGCACAGTGTATCTAAGGACTAGTTTGCAGGAACCGAAATGTATGCATGGTCAATATATTTTAATCAACCATTTGTACATATTTATTGAAGATTACATTTATAGTAAAATATGTGGAAAGAATTCTCAGGGTTGAACTTGCTAGAGGAGCTGGCAGGTAAACAGAAAAAGTTCCCTATTTGTTTTGTTTTCCTTCTGCATTAGTTTTCTTCACATCAGTATCTACATTTGTGCATCACACATTTTGTGGCAGTCTTACTGGATGGGGAACTGGAAAACCGTTAAGGCTAAAACCTGGTTTTAGCTTTGTATCTATAAATGGATTTTCTTCCCATGGTTTTATTACAGTGATATAACTATTGGTTTTGGTAGAGTGATGTAGACTGGACTGTAGATAACTGTGCTTAGTTAACTGCATAAGTATACCTAAAGACAGATTTTGGCCCAACGGCTTTTAATGCAGTCAGCTTAGTGCAACCTTTAGTTAGTTGTGGTCATTAGCTACTTGAGATTGTTCTGTGCAAGGTCATCATGAATAAACTTCCTGTTAGAAGCCAGTATGTCATGCTACCACCATCTTTTTTCTTCCCAGGACTTCCATTCACCAGACAGTACGGTGTTCAGCATCAGTCCAGCTGGGGCACCACCTAGTGAGGTGCTGAGTGCTGTGCCCTGCTGGGACCTGATGTCAGACACCACTCCCTTAACTTCAGGGGTGCCTCTTACTGAAAAACGCATGCTGCTGAGTTTCAGTCCAGGCGGCTGTGCAGGGAGCTGTGAGCTGTGGAGTCTACCAGCTGTCATTAAACAAGAGTTCGCTAGACAGAGCGTGGCAGTGCCCACAGGGGTCTTTAGTGAAAGTGGATTTTGTACCAGGTACTGTATGCTGAACAGTCATGAATAATGATCTTTGCGTGTTGCTATAAGGCCTCAGCTAGGAAGAAACCATAAGACATTAATGCAGAAGTCAGAGTAACACATGCCCCCCATATGTAGAGGCAAGCCTTACTTTAATTTAAAAATTGTTATCTTTTGATGGGTTTGATGCTTTTATTATAAATGGTTTCATGTTATGACTGTGTACAAGTTGTACAATTATTTTTATAATGCATGGACTGCTATTTTTTATGTGCATACAAAATAAGAGCATGAAAAGGGTTTTTTTGAGATTATGGTCTTTTTTCAATTTGCAGGTAACAATTTGAGTGCTCAAGGACAGTATGAAATGATACAATACAGAAATTTAGTTTTGTTTATAAAAGGTAAAAATACATTTTAGCAAGAATAATAAGAAAATAAACAGGAAAAGCAAAACAGGAATGAAACTGTTTTGAGACAAGGAAAAAAATCCATGTTTTAAATCTTGAAATGATCGAAACGTGCATTCTACTTACAAACAAATGCACCCAGCTAGTTTAAAGTAACAGTCCGATGACTAGTCAGATGCCCAACTTCAGTTCTCAGACCTCGTATCTGAGTCTATTTATCCTTATACTGGTATAAACAAGAAACAATCTGATGAAATTAGAGAAGCTGCATCAATATGATCTTCCTCTTGCCTGAAGTGCTTGATATCGTTCAAACCCACATACTGTTCCTCTGTAGTCTAAGAAGTATCAGTGTGGGTACTAAAGATTCTCATAAAGACTCAGATTAAAACAAAAATAATAATGGGAAGAACACGGAAAAGCTTCTTCATGATTGCGAGATGGATACAGAGAATCTCGTGATCCTAATCCAATTTGCAGACTGTTTGGATTTTTTAAAATCACCATGAGGTGAAGTTTTTTAGAAAGAGCCAATAAATTTGCACAAGAAAACATGAACTTGTGTTTATGCATGAAGACATTTTATGCAGCTAATAAGTAGAACTAAATTAATTTATTTTCATTTTAGAAATTTATGTAGTGATGATCCGTAAGATTAACATTTGAAGGGGCGATAGCATTGGGGATCATTCCAGGCGAGCAGTCAGTTACAAATTTATGTATTTGTTAAAAATATCTTTCATGTGTATCAAAAAAGTATGCGTGCAAATTCTTCTGGAAAATTTTAAAGATTTATGTTGAAAATTTGGACCTACAATCTCATGTTTTTAATTTAATATAAATCTCTGCTGGCCAGGGCTCTCATCTTGTAAACACACATACTTGATTTAACTCATGAGTTGTCTCTATTAAGTGATTTCTTCTCTAATACTGTTTTTTGTGGTATTTCCACGCATTTCTCTGTTCCAGTATAACTCTCAGTGGAGATATGTACTTGCCTAAATATTTGTAAATATCTGTGACTAAGAACTTGATTATAAAGAGTCTTAAAGATGTTAATTTTGAATGTTTCTATTGTTCAGAGTAATGATATGTAAAGATTTCATCCAAAACATGCATAATCAAATATATCTGCTTCTGTTTTAGAGCTATAGCCCTCACTTACCAAGAGCATCTTGGTGTGACGTACCTAACACTTACAGAAGATCCTAGCCCTCGTATAATTATTCACAATAGGTGCTCTGTTCCATTGCTTGTAAAAGAAAACTTCAAAGGTAGGTAGTATGCAGAAACAGTGCAGTGTTATAGTATAGATTATTTTTCTGTATCTCCAGTGCAAAATTGAGTTCAGTATGTGTTTTTGATAAAACAAGAACTTGATGCCCTCATGAAGATCCATCTGAAAGTGACAGACTCTGGAAGGTACTGAAGCCTGGAAGCTAATGGAGCTAAGCATGAGGTCAGAAGTATGAATTTACATGACTCCAGGCTTTTGGGTCTCCCTAGTTGCATCCATCAAGGTGACTCAGCTGTAGGAAACTAGTAGGCAGTAGAGTCCTTTTGACATCAGTTCAATCCCATGGAACATTTTAATTTCCTAAGATTCACAAGTGTAACACAAAACATTAATGTTAATGCAGTGATAAGTAGAACATTATTTATGTAAACCTTAGTGTATTGAAAAAGAAAGGGAAAAAAAACCCAAACATATAAAATTGTAACCAATAGAAGAGTAATGTTTTTATTTATTAGTAATATTTTAGACAGAAACTTCCTTGTTTGTGTAAGCATAGGTGAGTTTTCATTTCGTGCAGGTTTTAGAAAGTTCTAATCCTGTATATTTTATGAAATTTCAGATACACCAAAGTTTGAAGTTTATTGTAGAAGGATTCCAGCTGAATGTTCAGTTCATCATGAACTTTACCATCAAGTCTCCAGCTATCCAGATTGCAAAACAAGAGATTTGTTGCCCAGCATTCTTCTGAAAGTGGTGTCATATGATGAATTAGTAAATGAATGGAGTGATTTTGTGGATATCAACAATCAAGGAACACAGGTAAATCATTATGAACTCTTTCCGAGTTCACAGCATAAATGGTTGTCTTTCTGACCTGCACAGTATATTGTTCCTTTGCAAGAAGCATACTCTGTTGGTTAACTAAACTCTGTTGGGTTTAGGGGGTTTTTTAGGTAAGTATTTGGAGCTCTTCTTCCTCTAAGTGCTGTTGGGTTTTTTGGGCTTTGAGGCAATTTTTTTTGGTGTTGTTTTTTTTTTTAATTTAAGTTTTGGGAGTTCTCCTCCCTAATCTGTGGAAGTTTTAGAATACAGATTACCTTCTTCACTGGCTATTTTTAAAAATAGCTAGATAAAAATACAGGCTTTCTAGCACTGAATTTTTTCACTTCTTTTTCATCAACTTGGTGTTCCCTGGAGAAAAATCAGTCCTGATAATTTCTGGCCCCTGTAAACAAAGAATCCCCTATAAGCAAAGGATCCAGGAAAATCCTTCTATTTGGTGACTTAATTAACACAGGATTTTTATATTTACATCTTGTAAGAATCATCACTGTCATTCTCCCTCTGTGTCTTTACAGAAGCTACTCATGTCTTTTTAAAACAAAACAAAGCAAAAAAAACCTTTTGTTTCCTTCTGTTATTTTTCTCCTGTTTTGAGGTAAATGAAAACTTCCTTGACTGGAGTAATTCTTTTTGATGGGAATTTTTTCCATCTTTGAAGTCATTAGTTTACATGGAATCAACATAAACTGCTTCTCTCTTTGAAAGAAATACTAGTTTCAGATGTTTTCCCTGGGGACCAATCACAAAAATGCTCTTGATTATTGAGTGTTATGTTATATTGCAAGTAGTTCAGTTTCATTCAGCAAGCCAGTCAAGCAATGCAAGGTTTCAAATTTCAGCCATTAATGTTATGCCAGACCAGGGTTCTTTATAAGTATCTGGCTCCTACAAGGAATTAGATGCTAAGACAACATTTGGGGATCATTGTCTATTTGAAGAACTCTCCAAATAAGAAGTGTAGCCTTCTGTTAACAAAGTTTTAGGGTTTACAAGTAGAGAATTTCCCCAGGATTTCTCAGTCCATCTTAGGAAACTATAAGTAAATAAGGAATAAGCTAATAGCTTCACATGCTTGGTTCAGATTGTGAAACAACTGGGATTTAGAAGATCTTGAGTAATTTGTGCTCTTTCTACCTAGTCACAGATAGGTACTTATTCTATTAAATGAAAATGTTATTAATTTACAAAAATTAATAACATCTGAAATTTGAATTAAAATTTCCAATCTTTAAGATCAGTAAGGGGTTTTTAGAATAATGAGGGTGTATTGAAAATTCAGTGTCCTTTTTTTGTCCACGTCCATCATGCAGGATTGCAGATCTCTTTCAGATAAGCAGAAGTTTAAAACTGAAATATCACAATTATGAATTCTTGTATAGTAATTCTCAGAAGAATAAGACATAATTTGATAAATGAAATTTAATTATCTCTGCAAGGTTGTTATATGTAGTGTAACGAGAATCTATTTAAGTGCTGATCTACTAAACTTCAAGTGCTTTCCTTCTGGTGATTTGTTAACAGCAGTAAAGATTCTTCAAAGCAAACAACTGTTTATTTTACCTATGCTAGCCCATTATCTTTGTGTTATCTCTTGAGTTTGTATTCCTTTAAATTATCTCTTCTGTCATTGCAATCTTGTAAACAATTGTGCTGATAGTAGCCTTACAAAATAGAAGTCAGTTTGCTCTAACAAAGACTGCTGTGACTTTTCCAAGCCTGAAAAGACCTGTCTTCTGTATTGTGGAAGAACACAAAACTTGCTCAGAACTATTGTAGAATTAAGCTACAAAAACCAATATGTTATTTCTTTAAGTAGAATATTTATTCCTAAGGACAACTTATTCAGAATGAAAATTTGCTCATCTGTAAGCAAGACACAAACCTCTTGTCAAGTTCCCATTTTCCTGCCTTTTAAAATGTTTTATGCTTTCTAATACTTTTGCCATTTCTTTGTGGCAACACCTTGGTTTTGAATGTTGTCTCTCAAATGCAGGTTAGATGGCTTAAGAATGTGTTCAATGTTGTTAAGCAAGTCTTCATGAATCCAGAATGTTACTTTAATTTTTAATCTTCATGTGTTTAGCATCATGCTATCAGCCACTCATCTAACCAGCTCTGAGCTAGGGCATAGCAACATAATGTTAATTTAGGGTTGGTTTTCCAGTGGAGGTGTTATTGTGCAGAGCTTTAGGAATGTGCCTTTCTCCTTCATCTAAAATTGCAAATTAAAATTTCCTTTTTATTCTGTTCTCGTATAACTTCCCCCCTCTCCAGCACATCTTGCTTATTTCTGGAGAAGAAGTTTCATATTAAAATATATTCAGTTATGCAGTTAAAGGATGAGGTGCAAATTTCATCTTGCTGTTCAACTGAAATACTTGAAGTATCAGAGCTGTTATTTTCTAGTATTGATATCTGTTTCTGTTTTTCCTGAAGTGTCATGATTTGCGTAAGAAATCTCTAATAGGATTAATTCTTATTCTGACATTAAAAATAGTAATTTCAGTGGCATTCCGTATGTTTCTAACTCTCTTCTCTAGATTGTGTTCTTAACTGGCTTTGGCTATGTTTATGTGGACATTGCCCATCAGTGTGGAACAATAGTCATAACCTTGGCCCCAGAAGGAAGAGCAGGACCTGTCGAGATCAACCTCAACAGGTACATAAAGCACATAAAAGGTGATGAAAAAGCATTGCCAAAAGTGCTGACTGGTCAGTCAGCTTTCTAAGCGTTAACTAACCAACAAACTTTGGCTTAACTGTTTGTTTTGTTTAATACTGCTGCGTGCTCTGTGGCATATGTTTAGACCAGATGTTACGCTTTGTATGTCACAGTTAAAAAAGGACAATCTAACACCAAAGTCATGTCACTTTAGGGTAAACACTGGATGCCTGGTACAAAAAGAAGTCCTGTGTTGTTCATTTAAAAAAAAAAAAAACACAACAAAAAACACAGATTTTCCCTTCAGAATTAATTTTGAGTGTGTTCTTCAGTATAAAATGTATTTAGCCAGGTCCTGCCATCTGTAACTGTACAGGCTCCCACTAAAATTGGCAGGAACTTTGAAGTACAAGGGCTGTAGAAATAGTCTTACAGTCATTAAATAACCGTGCTTCATTATAACACTCTTCTTAGGAGACTTCCCCACTTCCATAACACACTGCAACCTCAGCTCCATTCAAGTGCAATTATAACACTACCTCTTTCTAAGACGCAAAAAGCCTGACCTCCAGCAATGCTGTTACTATTAGAGTGGAATTTGTTGTACTGTTTTTATTTGCACAGTAATTAAGTATTAATCCCCAAGAAACTGGTCATCAGCGATACATAATAGCCCACTTGCTAGTTAAACTTGGCAATGGGCAGTTAACATTGCATGAGGGAGGCTCTCAGTGCTGTGGTGGCTTCCTTGGAGGGCACTCATTGTATGTGGTGTGAAATGAATTATCCATAATAGTAACCTTCAGTAGTGTCTCTCAGAAAATACTGTAACATCTGAGGCTGTATGTGAATTATCAGAAAATTGTAATGTTGTCTGCTTTAACATCTGGCTCTGTTACAAAAAAAAAAAGTATAGGAAATTACTGTGTATATAATGATGTTCCTGTCCAAACGATCCTGTTGATTGATAAGAAAGAAAGAGGATAGATGGAAATATCCCATTTCTTAGAAGACCTCCTGGGTGTTATCCACAGTGGTGGCTGAAGCTGCCAGATCCCATTAAGAGTAACAGGACTTGTACAGTGAGTTTCCTGTGTATTATAGAGAACATCTCTTCTGACAGCTTTCTAGAAAGTAAGATGCTGGGTGAACTCAAAGTACATGAAGCAACAAAACTGCTTTTCCTTTCTAGAAGTCAAGAGCAGACCCTATCACTGAAAATGTTCATCGGTCAGTTGAGTCTTGCTGCCTTTGATGATATTACAAACCACAAAGTGTCATCTGAACTTCTGCGTCTCACAGCAGACCACATGTTCCTCCACATGGCTCCAGCCAACAGCTACCTGAGACCCCTATCGCAGGAGTTCCAGTGGGACGCCATGGAAGGCCTCCCCCAGTTTCATAGTCTCCAAGTGTATTGTGAAGACTTGCAACTAGACAATCAGTTGTACAGCAAGTCCAATTTCCATTTTGCAGTCCTGCTGTGCCAAGGAGAAAAAAATGAGACTGTGCAGTGGTCCAGAGTGAGCAACCTCACTGTTTGTAACAAAGATTTGGAAAGCTATAAAGAAAGCTGTTTTATAAAACTCTGCATTGCTTTTTCTGAGGAAGAGAATTTCATGTTTCACATAAATGACCTCAGCTTTGAGCTCAAACCAGCTAGGCTGTATGTGGAAGACACCTTTGTTTACTACATTAAGACTTTATTTGATACATATCTTCCAGAAAACAAAACCACTTTTCAATCCATGCATACTTCAGATACTACCCTGGTGCTGCCTGAACAAGTGAGAGAGCATGCAAGAGCTTTGGTCAAGCCAGTGAAGCTAAGAAAATTAACAATACAACCTGTTAATCTCCTTGTCAGTATTCATGCTTCACTGAAACTGTATATAGCCTCAGATCACACCCCTCTCTCTTTCTCTGTGTTTGAGCGAGGACCCATCTTCACCACTGCCAGGCAACTTGTCCATGCCTTGGCCATGCATTATGCTGCTGGAGCACTTTTCCGAGCAGGTCAGTACTTCTCCTTAACACGTAACATTTTTATTAGGTACCAGGATTCTGTGACTGTCTCTCAAGCTGAATAACCTTGATGTTAACCATACATTATTGTTTTCCTCAGACACTCTTTGATAATGATATTTTCAGGCACCTTTCATGTTCTGCCATACAACAGAAGGGAAATAAAATGGCTGAGCAGACACCAGCGAAGATTTGTAAGGTTGTGCTAAACATTAGCCAGCCACCTGAAAGCTTTATGAAACCCTGAACACAGCATAAAAATGTATTCTAGCAGGCTTAGGTTTTGTCATTTTGTATTATAGCACTAGTCAGAATCAACCCACATTCCTCACATAAACTCCCCAAAACTAAGTTTAATCAAATTATTCAGCATGTTGCTCTGCATTCAGAAGTAAATTATAGCCTTGGATGTTTTTTTGTTGTTAAAACTCCTTTTGGTTGCAGTTTATGATTAGGACTCTGTCTTTCTTCATACAGCCTTCATGCTAAACTGGCACACAGATGTTTGTTGTCCTTTGATCCAAGAACTATGAAGTTTGCTGTTACTAACTTTTTCCCATATAGGATCAATAGTAAGCAATTAGTCTGTTAGGTTAGCAGGTGTATTCTGTTTCCCATAAATATTAATTTAGAAATTATGAAATTTGGTCTCTGACATGTCTTAGTCTGGAACAGAATTTTTACCTGAGACAGGAGGAAGCTTCTCCATGTTCACATGTAGGTAATGCAATCCACACTGAAACATGGGATTTATTTTCCTGCAATACTAACCGTCAGATTTTCTGGAATCCTGATGTGCTGGAAGCATAGCTGTGACCTGATTTCTGTGCACAATTTCCAAAATTGTACGCATGCATTTCAGGTATTTATAAATAGAAATAGTGAGATGTTGATCTGGTCTTTCTCACAGTTTTGCACCAGCACAGTGTGCACTGATTCACTTTTTTCTTGCATTATTTTGCTTCCAAAAATTTGCAGGTTTTTCCTTTTACTGCTTATTTGGATTTGTTTTACAGTCAAATTCCATAGTACAAAAGGGGAGATGTAGTTTCTTGCTAATTAAGAGTGAAACTATGGCCCAGTGTGAATGTTTCTCCCCACAACTGCCTAGGAGTGGTGATACAAGTGGTGATAGACTGCGACAGGAAATTGGGGTTATACCGGCTTTTCATCTGCAACATCCCAGGTGAGGTACATATGAGAGTTAGGGATTCCTGAGCCTGGTTTGGGCTTACCTCCTGTGCTACCCTTGCAGGGTGCAGTGCAAAGGCCACCCCTTGCTCTGGGCTCATGATGTAGATGGAAGCAAACAGGTTTAAATATTATGAAGTCAGGTTTGCTTCAGTGGAACTTCTCTTCAGGAAAATACATAAGCATATATTTAGTCATTGCTTAAACCACACTCAAAGCAATAAAACTAAAATAGATTTTTTGAAAGGGGTTACCATTATTAAAATGGTGAATTATATTGATTAATGTTTGCTTGGGCAAAGAAGATGCTGTATTTTGAAGAGTTTGTGACACTTGTCAGAAGGCTGTGTCAACAAAGTTAAAAAGGAGGAAAAAAATAAGCAAAAACCTTATATGGTCTGCAAACCGTGAGACCTTCCCTCACCATCAGGTGAGTTACACTTCTTGGATTGGTCTCTTGTGGAAAAGGACCTTGCTCTCCTGCATTTTAGCCACATTAATCTGCAAAATGACAGGTTGTTTGACCCCCTTCTGCTAACCACTGTCCAATGCATAAATCATGGTAGCATCTGCACAAATGGCATTCCCAAACAGGTATGCCTTATGCTCCAAACAGGTTAGTCTCATTTTGCCCTTAGCTGTATGAAGGATCGTTGCTGCCCTATGGGAGAGGGCAGGATTGACCCCATAGCTTGCTAAAAGGGGTGTGTCATGCTGCCCCCCATATGTTCCAAAAGAGTGGCTAGAATATATGTCTTGTAAGCAGTGAGTAGCGCTGGAGAGCTTTGCTCAGATATGCTGATTAGCATTGCTTGTCTCAAATTAGCAAAGCTTGCAATGGAAATCTCCCATCCTTTTCTAATTAAGTTGACTTCTATTTAAAAGTTAATAAAATTCTATTTAAAAAGATCACTGATATCAGCCAGATCTAACTCTATAGTTGCCTAGAAAGAAACTGCAGTGGCTCTCTGCTGATATAGTCATACTAGTGGACATAATTACTAAGCATACTTTGGGAAATGGTAACCTGACATGATACTGTATTTCTGCAAAGTATAATGCAGCACAGAGCTTCTGAATGGAGGAACTATTCCTGATTCATCACTCTCCTATCCTTACTTACTCCCACACCTTCCTCCTTGGATTGGGTGGTCCATGCTGGCAGTGAGGAGCCATTTGGTTTGCTCTGAGTGTTGGCCAAGGAGGGCCACACTTGATGCAGGTTGCACGTTCCTCCCATGTGCTCTCCAGGGGTGAGCATGCTCCTTCCAGAGCTTCCCAAAAGTGGCAGCCTACCAGCCAGGGCAGACTGTCACAGCTCACCCCCAGGATACCAGGCAACCCCTCAGCTTTGTGTTTACCTGGTTTCATTCATGCATTTCATGTGGTTTTCATTCCTGAGCACACCAGCTGATTAAACAGGTGAGTGGAGTTGGAGTCTCCCATGTTCCAGCCTGGCAGTGTCTGCTGGGGGAGTTGGAGGGCACCAAGGCACTAAGCTGTGGTGTCATTCAGCTGCTTTCCATTGCACCACCACCTCAGGACAACGAATGATGAGAATATTTAGAGAGAAAAAAAAAAACAAGCAACGAAGGCTGTAAGGGATTATTGTAACATTATTGATCTGAGCAAGCAGAAAGAACATCTCTTCCATCTGCACACACCTCCCCACCCCTCCAGCTTTTCAGCACTTCGCACAGTGGCACAGATAATTTATTAAAAATACTACAGGGAGGGAGTACAGGCCCAGCCTGAGTACTGGCTTCCCCTGTCCCAGCAGGGAGAGACTGCCAGGGGATGCTCCTTTCCAGGGCAGGCACTGCGGGGCCACAGTGCTTGTTGCTGCCTTCCTTATTGCATTGCCAGTAGTACTTGATTTTTGTTCTCATAGTCCATCCCACCCTCTCCCTTATGTCTGCTGTGGTTCCCGCTTTTTATGCTATGGATACTGGAGTTCTCAAGCTGCCAGGGCTGAAATGTGGGACAGATTCAACAAGAATAATAGATTTTCCAGGAGCTTAGAATGATAGTATGAGATTAATTCATTGCATATGAGTAACATTTTCTCTTCTGTTCAGTTTCATGATTCAGCCTTCCACAGGAGTGACTGGGAGGGGCTAATAGAAAACAAGAAAAGCATCTGGATAGCAGGAGTTTGCAGTGGTGAGATGGGAATGAGGAGGGCAGCGCAGATCAAGGCCCTCAGCAGGAGAACAGGAGGACAAGCTGTCCATCTTTCAGTGTCCCAGCCCTGTCACACCCAGTGTCATTCTCACAGTGCCAGCTGGAATTCATGGTACCAGGACTCAAAGACCAGGCAGTTCCCATTTAAGGTTTATTGCCATTTCTGAATCGTTCTCTCAGGGCTGAAAGTTATGCAGCACTATTTCCTAATAAATCTGCTGCCAACCAGCCTGAGAAAGACAAGACCTGCAGACAGCTTTCCAGCAACAGATTGCTGCATGCTTGGCCATCCAGCAAGCTGCTGGCAGCCCTGCACTTATATAGGAAACCAGATCTGCAGATACCTCTCCTGGGATATGCATAAGGAATACTCCCCTATGAGTAACCTAATCAGCATGTAGATGTCATTGCTGTTTACACAACTGTACTGAGCAAAAGACATTTGTCTGGCTTTCACTGCACTCTGAAAGAAAATGATCAGCTTAGAAGCATTGGGGTGGATTTAAAATAACTTCTTAAGCACTTGTCAAAAATCTGCATCCCCTTTCCTAACACTCCATCAAGCAATTGACCTGCACACTCCCGTAAAGCAGTACATTGTATCAGTGTAAACTCCCTGTCACAATTCTATCACATAAGGATGTGAGATCACCAGGCTGCCTTATAGTGTCTAAAACTGACCTGGCGATCTGAACTTGCAGTCCCATCCCTCCGTAGCTGTGAGGTTCCAGCATCTGCCTCCCTAGCACACTTTTAGCAGAAATACGGGAAGCTCCTGGAAGGAAGTCATTCTAAAGCTATTTGCGAGTTTGCCAAAAGGATTTCTTTGATTTACGAAGTATGAAAGATTGCAATTTCTGAATTCATAGTGGATGAGTTATTTCCTGTGTTTTGCTCAAAGGAAGGTCAGAATGCGATGAATACTAGTGTGAAAAAGATAATTAAGGAATAACCTTTTCACAACTGCTGCTCCTGCAGGTTTTGCAGCCATAACATATGTCTTGTTTTTCCATGCAGGCTGGGTTGTCGGATCGTTGGAAATTCTTGGGAGCCCGGCTAGCCTGGTGAGAAGTATAGGGAATGGCATAGCCGATTTCTTTAGGCTCCCCTATGAAGGGCTGACCAGAGGCCCGGGAGCATTTGTCAGTGGAGTTTCCAGAGGAACAACATCATTTGTAAAACACATTTCCAAAGGTAGAGCTTTCACTTTGTTGCTCCAACTACTGCTTTGTTGTCAGGCGTTGTTAAAGGATGTGTTAAAGTTTTAAACAATATTGCTTGCAGCTTTGTTTGGCTTGCTAGGCTGCGGCGAAGTGCTGGGAGGGTAACAAAGCTCACATATAACATCATATGTATTAAACAGATCACCGCTTAACTACAGTGCGTAAGAACATTTCAGAAACTTCAGAATTTTAAACCTCCCAGTGGGAAATGGAGATTGGCTCAGCCGGTATTTCATGTGATAACTGCAGAAATATGAAAGGTGTTCTGTACTTCTGCTAACCATCAGAAATTCTACACTCTGTCGCCTCATCATATTCATTATTCCTTTAAAAAAAGAGAGAATAGATACAGTTGTCATAGCTGTGTAAGTGCGTGGATGGGTTTTAACAGCAGGGCTGGGCTGGCCGGAGAGCAGGAGCAGCTTTTGTGTTGCGAAGTCTGTACAAACAGTGCCATCGCGTGGCTCTGCCGCCTGCAGAGACCCCGGCAGGACCCTGCTGCTCCTCCTGGGGGGCTCCCTCAGGACACCTCCTCCCTGGCTCCTCCTGTAAACGGTTGTTTACCTTTCCATCACACACACACACACACCCTCCGTTTGGGTCAGCCCCACAGAAGTTTGGGAGCTGGGAATTGATGTTTGGGTGAGCTGCTGTTCCCACTGGACAGGCAAACCTGGTACCAGCTAATGTAAAAGGCGTGACGTAGACCGTAGAAGCAGTGTGGTGATGCTTAACAAATAGTAAAGCAAGTTACACATGGGTGACTTTTCAGCTGACTTGCTGTTCTCGTAAGCTCAGTATTGCAGTGAGGCATAGAACGCCTCCGTGTTTCAAATTAAAGCATTTTGATCCAGACCCAAATGTATATCTCCGTGTATTTAGGTACACTGACATCAATTACCAATCTGGCAACAAGTCTTGCTCGGAATATGGATAGGCTGTCACTGGATGAGGAGCATTACAACAGACAAGAAGAATGGAGAAGGCAGCTTCCAGAGAGCCTGGGAGAAGGACTGAGACAGGGGCTCTCTCGTTTAGGCATTAGCCTTCTAGGTAATGTACTATTAAATATCAAGTTGAGTGATGATACTGTTTTCTGATCTGCTCACCAGCCTTTTCAACATGTGAGTTATACTTGCAAATTCTGTTTATTTTGGTATTTTCTTGTGAAATAGCCTCACGGTATGTATATGAGATACTGTTTCTTTTTATCAAGTGAATTATATTTCGTGAATTTTGTGTATGTTTTTTCCTGATAAAATAATTGCAGAGATTAATAGAGCGAATTTGCACTCTATTAGTGAAATATTTTCATTGGTACATAATGCATCTCTGAGAAGAAACAAATAATTCTGCACAGGGCAGGGTGACTTGTAACTAAGCACAAAGACGTCATCATGCCGATGTTTACTTTCCAATGAGTTATAGGAATGCCTTCCAAACCTGCTTGGTTTTGCTGCACTGTAGATATTGGGGATTCTTGGTTTTGTTTGAAAACCACTTGAACTTAGTGCAGATGTTAAGTAAGCTTTGATGAGGAATTCTGCTTTTACCAAAAGACCCAGATTATCCTGATTCAGTGTAATTGTATTTGCTCAGCAGCCAAGGGGGTTGGTAGTTAGAAGTGAAGATTACTCTGGCCTTTTCAAAATAATACCTAAAAATTCAAAAACTAACCCACACTGGAAAAAATCTCTGAGAAGTTTTGCAGTAAGGGGCTGTATTTTTTAGGTTTCTTGTCACACAGCAGAGGAATGCAGAACTGTATTGTTTGGCAGAGTTCCTCAGTACGTATTAAAGAGTATGAATCCCTTCGAGATCAAAGTGACCAAAAGCAGTACAGTGCAAAAGGTTAGGAGAGCTGAAGCTTGAAAGGATTTGTCCTCTTTCCTAATCTTCACTAGTGTACACAACTCCTAAATTTGCAACCGCAACCCTGAAAGCCCTGAAGAGGAAGTGGTAAAAATGTTACAAGTTTGGGTTAAGTTACTGGAAATTATTTTGAGCAATAACGTTAGATGATGTGAAGCACTGTCATTTGATAATGCCTGTAAAGCTGCAAGCAAGTGTCCTGGGAGAAATGCGTATAAAGGAGAAATTTCATATATTAGTAGCTACTTTCCCAATAGTAAGCTGTTACTGGTGTTGCAAATCAAAGGCACTTCGGAGAAGGTTTTATTTTTCCTTCTTGTTTTATTGGGCTAAGGGCGGTCAGGTTGAGTAGCTGGAGGAAAGATTATACTTTTAGAAGCACTCTGTCAGCGTGGTGTGTATCTGCTGATGAAATGGTTTGGTGATCTTGGCTCAGTCGTTAATAAAACAGCGAGGTAATGTGGTGGTTGTCCCCTTCAGTGACACACCAGAGCTCTTCAGAACTAAAAGCATCAGCTGTACAGCCTGCAGAGCAAAACTTTGTCGCTTTGGCTGCAGCAAAGCAAAGTTTCTGCTGTTCAGAACAGTGGGGAACGCGTACCATGCATGCACAAATGCACCGCGCCTGTGCCTCCCTGTGCACAAGGTTTCCATTGCCGCTGGAGTATGCCCGAGTTAAAAACAAAAGCAGAAAAAAAAAAGGAGTTAGAATTTCAGCGTCCCTGAGTTCCTGAAAAATCAGACTTCATGTTAGAAGCTTAGAGCTTCATAGTAGCACTTAAGACAGTGCTCCTCTGCAAGCTAGAATCTTGTTCTTACTCCTGCCATTACGAGATTCCTGCCTGCAAAATTCCTCTCTTCTTAGCAGTGGAGGCAATGCAGCACCCAGATAAATAGCTACTGATAATGTGTAGCTGGATTCGACAAGTGTGGGACCTCTCACTAAGGGAATAACTGGAACTATTCCTCTGAATTTGTATCAGCCATAATTATTTAAACTGGATTTTTAAAAGGTGTGTTTTCTTTGTATGCACAGCAGCGTTCATGTAAATTGTGTCGAGACCTAAATTATGACTAGACCTGCATTTCAGTTTTTACAAACACATCAGAAAGCTGTTTCTGTCCTCACCATTTATTTTAAAGAATTGTGGGTTTCCCCCCACAACCAGTCATAGCTGAAGGGGAGGTATCACCGTGCTGCTTTCTTTTACCAGCATGTTAAGAGTAAACATGAAGATGCTTACTCTAAAAAATACTTCCATGTTCTTCATACGTAACAAAATGAAACTGCTATCTTATCTCCCTTCACAATCATGAAGAGTTCCAACGAGCACAGGGACGCAGGGAGCAAGACCTTTGGAAGCCACAATTTCTATAACTTTCTAATGGCAATAATTGAGCCACGTGAGAAAGACTTCTGGGATAGTCACAGGACTGTCATGTTTGTAAAAGCCATCTGACTCAGGCAAGCAGCTTTAAGAACTGCAAATGCAGATTTCGCGCCTAGGCACGGGCGTGTAGGAGCCCGCGGTTCACCGATACATTGTGGTATCTGTGCAGAAGGAAGAGTTGCATTCCTGATTTTTCTGAAAATCTGGCTCATGGTGGCCTTGATTCACTTAAGCACATGCTTAAGTGCTTTGCTGAATGAGGGCCAAAATCATGTACTCTTGTCTCCTCCTCAGTGCAAGTTGTTCCCTGTGGTACATTCTTAAGTGCTTTGTCCTGTCTCATTTTAAATGACTCAAGCACTGTCAGGGTGTTGTTTGATTTGATTGTTATCTTTGGCTGGTTGTCGTCTTCTTTTCTGGTTTGAGGGAGACTTCTGGATCACTTTAGCAATGTTTATGCATGAAAATAAGCAAAAGCTTTGGGATAGGTGTGTTTTTTCTTTCATATTAGACAAAAATGCAATGGAATTGTATGTAAAATATTTAGATCGTTGGCACTCCCCACCAAGGAGCTGTTTTTTGCATTTTGCATGCTGGGTTCAGGCTTTAAAATAATAATTTGTAACTGTATAAAAGAAGAGATGAAAACTATAAGCTTTGTTTTCAACTACTGGTCCTAGTGAAAAATATCGTATTGAAGTAGCTCCCTTTAGGAGTTGAGCATTTCAGAGTAACCAAAAACCTGACAACATTTTTCACAATGGCAAAAGTGCTCAACATTTCAGGTACTCCTGCTTGCTTTTGGGGAAAGTGAACTGATAGTAGTAGTGACTGACAGTGCAACTGTGCTGCTAGAGAAGGTAAGGCCTGGATTTGAGTAGTTCAAATTTTTGATATTATGAGTGGTGGTTGTTGTTGCTGTGCAGCTATCACTGAATCAGAGCCACTCCACTTTGCCTATCTACAAGCGAGATACTAAGAGTCCATGCTAATCCTGAAGGTGTATGCTATTCCACACACTAATTCTGCAAATATATTAATGCACACCAACAGGTGCTCTTTCCCTTTAGCTGTATTTTTATGTGATGTTTGCTGTGATGAGACTAGGCTTCAGCTGTGTTTTCAGTGTGAAATGCTTGTGGCAATCCTGACGGACAACAGAGAAAAGAAAAGGAAACAAAATGGTTTCAGCTTGGCTACCTTCCAGACTCGTGGCAGCGCATGGACAGTTTCTGCTGGTGGGGGATTTTCCCCAACTAGTTCTTGGTCTGAAAGAGTTTGTCACAAGCAAGCCGAGCTTTGCCGAGTTCTGAAAGCCATGCTGCGTTTACCAAAGACTGTCAGTCTGCGTGCAAAGCAGTTGCTGCCCATAATCAAATTCTTCTTGAAGTAATACAGGGATATATTCTGAGCTATCTTAAGGTCCTTTCCAACCCTAACGATTCTATGATTCTATCTGAATTTTGTAGTTATCAAAGTATCTTTTTATGCTTACTGAGCAACATGCATTAACCTGATTGCACCCCATCTGATGTTTAGCAGATATTACGGTGTTGCTGGAACTTCTTTGTCCAGTAATGGAAGAATATGTTTTGTTGCTTTGGTATTTAATTTTATTGAGGTTTTCTTTATACATACATAATCTGTGTGTACATATGTGGACATGCGTATAAAATTAAATGCCTAGGGTAGGAATGAAAACAAAAATAGAGAATGGTTTCATTTAAAAAATAATAAAGGGCAAAGGACAGTACAGAGAACAGACAGGGACAGAAGTAGGACACCATAGCTGTCTTCAGACTGTGCTTCCCTGATACCCTACTGAAATCTTGGGGGAGAGACCTTCTGTGGTAAGCCCATCCAGCATGGTGCTGCTACCACTAACTTTTATGTTCACAAGAAAGAAGCCACATGGACCCAGGGAGCATCTGCTTTGCACAGTTCCTGGTACTAGGAGATGCAGTGAACCTCACATGTGTGTCATCATTTTCCCACTGCTGTCAGGTTTTGAGGTTGCTCAGCCTTCGACCTTTCTGTGTTTTTTTCCCTCTCCTTTGCCCACACATGATGCACCCAGGAAAGGAGCTGCGCAGATCCTGCCTCCAATGCAAGGGTGGTAGGGCCAGCCACTCTTGAATGAAAGAGTAAAGCTATAGTTTATTATGTGATTTGTGGGCATAATGACAGTACATGAATGAATTGTCATTGATTTGCAGTTCAAGATAAGAGATTAAAAAGGGTGAGCAGAGAGAGAAGAGAACATCATTGGTTATATTTTTTGCAGGTAGAAAGACACAACTTGCAAAAGTATTTCAGGTACAAAAGGGCAATGGCTTCACAGGCGAGTTCAGAGGATGCATAAAATGGCAGAATAACAAAGTGTGGAAGTACTAAACAACTGGTTAATTAAGCTATATATTATTTGGGATACTATATAAATAATTTTATATAACACAGTCACAGTAGTTTCCATTCTGTTTCCTTGTCCCCTGGGCCTAATTCCAGCTGAGAAGTGCCTGGAGCATACCACAGGTCCTTTGGAGTAGGCTCTTATTTATTATTACCTTATAACATTGCTCAAGTGTATCACAGTAAATAATTTACTAGTGCTAGGACTTAGGTGGATTACATTTAATAAGGCAATAACTGCTGTCCTGAAAGTGCAGTTGCTGTGGATGACCTCAATAGATAGGGTGATGGAGGTCACAGGGTAACATAATACTGTAACTTAGCAGAACACCAAGTATTGTTTTATGTCTTCAAATGCATCACAATTGTACAAAAGAAAAGACTGGATGAACAATCCCAATTGTGTAGTGCCGTGTTGGGGTATTATTTTAGTCAAGCAGCAGGAGCAGCTGGTGAGTACTAATGAAACAGAACTGAATTGAAAATTGTATCGTTTCCATGGCATGGCATTGAGGAAGCTTCACGGCCTTTGTGGTACAGAGGGTGAGTGTTCAGCTGCACGCTCAGCTTCAGTGAGGGAGCTCAGTAAAAGCTGGGTGTCACGTAAAAAATAGACCAGCATTTTCTTGGGAAATACCATACATTTATCAGTAAAGGATACACATGTAGAAGTTGGAAACAATCTCTCTAAGAGGAGAGGGAGGCATTTATAGGGAATGCAAGTTTCTTGAATTGCTGATAGATAGTATCTCAGGGACAGGGATTTAGGGGAATGTGTACTGCTTCTCATCCTTGTCTCTTTTTTTTGTTTGGACAGGATACCAGTGTCCAAGTATGATATTAGTTCTTGTTGTTCAAAGTCAGCAACTTCTCCGTTTATCCAGTAACAGTAACTAAAACCATCTGAAAACCGGTTAGCAGCTAGCTGACTAGTGCATTTCATGCTGGTAACCACATGTGGCCAAATACCTCAGCTGTGGTTGTCCGAATCTGTGGAATTATGCCTGGATTTGCTTCCACATTCAAAGCCGAATCTTCAGAGATGTCTGGGTTGCAGTAAAAATGCCTAGTCACCAAGGTGACACAGGGGCCTACTTCTTAAATAGCTGTTTTATCTTGATATTTGCAGCTGAAGGTACCAAGGAGCCTGCAAACTTGCTTTTCACTGAGCAGAGAACCTCGGATCAGGCACACTGTTTCCTAACTGATGTCACTTTGTCCAATCCCTGTACTCTTAGCAATTTCCAAATAGCTTATCTATCAAAATTGCAATAACTAGAGACATGTCTGTGGTTAAGTGGCTCGCGTAAACTCAAGATCAAAGGAATGTACCACCACACATACCTGTTTACATTTAGGAAGATTTGAGCTGGAGTTCTCTGTTGATACTAAAAGCTGGGAAGGTCACTGTGTCACTTGTAAAAGTTTGACCCATGCGCATTAAAGTAAAATATGATCGTTTTCACAAAATGGTAACAAAAGGTCTCAAAGTCTAATTCTGCAAATCTTAGTAATATATCAAAAGTTGCATTAGCTTATGAACATTTCTGGCAGTGGAAGAGGATATAAAAATGATGTATTGAATACAGGCAGTTTTTATTCTCATGAAGTCAATCTGAGGCTTACATGAAAATCTCATTTCCATAGCAGCTCCGGTCTTCTAAAACTGGTGGACTTTATTCCAAGCCCAGCATTTTCAGAATTGCTACACAAAATGAGCTAAATTAAACCAACTCAGCAAAAGGATTTAGCGAAAGTAGTTGAAAGATGAAAACGCGCTGTCAGGTTCGGTGATCTGAATGTTTGAAAAGTAAAATGTGTTTTAAAAAAAAGAGGAAGCTGAGACTTATCTGAAACTGCAGCTAAGGTCGTGTTTAGCTAATTGGTTGCATGCTAAATAGCTGTAATAAGAAGGGTGGGGTACAGTCGGTAATCCAGGCAACATTCACGTCCAGCAGTAAGATTTCCTCTTATTCTGGGATATTAATCTTCACTAATTGCTGGGACTCCTGTTTTTTCAGGTGCAATTGCTGGGATTGTGGATCAGCCGATGCAGAATTTTCAGCGAGTGTCTGAGGCCCAGGCTTCAGCTGGGCATAAAGCCAGAGGGGTCATCTCGGGTGTGGGGAAAGGAATCATGGGGGTCTTCACAAAGCCCATCGGAGGAGCAGCTGAGCTCGTCTCCCAGACAGGTTACGGTGAGTTTCTCTATTTCCAGCATCTCCATTTGAATTCTAAAATGCTTTTCAGGCACAACCTGCTGTGTCTTTCTTACCTGGCTCAGTAGCTGTGTGGCTTACTTAGAGAAAGGTTAAAAATGCCAGTGCTGAATAGTTATAAATGTGCTCGTTTCCTTAAAAGCCATCCTGTTCTGCTTCTCTGTGGTGTTACTGATCAGCATTGTACAGCCACAGCAACACAGAATGCAGAAAGCATGAAGTAATTCTTGGAATACAGTAGAATTAGTTACAGAAACATATGTGCTTACAAAAGAGCTTTTGACATAAAAGTATTAGAGCAACACTATACCCAATTAGAGTGTTATTTTGAGATTGCTTTGTTATAGCAAGGAAAGAGTTGTGCTGTCTCTACGCAAAGAGAGAGTTATTTTCCTGGGAGAAAGAAGTGAGTCATGTAGTGGGAGCATCCCTTTTAAACTGCGGAGTTGTGAGAAGAGAGTCCTGGTTTTGGAGATACAAGTAACCTTTAACAACCAGAGGTGGGTTTTCCAGCTAGGCTGAGCACTTTGTGACAGCAGTGATGAATCCTGTCAAAGTGATGTGAATACTTCTGAATGACCAAAAACCATAAAAGATAAAAATCTGAAAATGCACTAATTAATTTATTTCCAGTATCCATAAATCAAAGCTGTTGGTCTGGATATTTAAAAGGGGTGTCAGGAAAGAAAAGGAGGGTGACCTGTTGATATAAGAACAATGTGTCAATAATTTTGCTTCACAAATTACACAGGATAAATCTTAAAGATTTAAGTCTTTAATTGCTAGCAGTATTTATGTTTGTGATGTTGATTAGCATATGAGTAGCTCTCCCAGGGCTTAAGTTCAGGATATTGTTTCCATGCTTCCCATCACATGCAGAACTCATTCCTTGAAGCAACCTACTTAAAGAAATAATGAAACAATTATTACACTTCTTTCAAGTTAAATTTATCTTATTTGATGAGTGTAAATAATAACCGTTCTCCTGAATTATGCATCCCATAGGTATAAAACCCATATCAGTAAAATCAGAAACTTCAGTCTGTTGCTGGCTGCCTGTGCATTGGTTTTGCTGCCTTCAGCGTTACTCTTTCTAGATTTACTTCTGCTGCAGTCTTTATCAAGAAACTTGTAACAGTAGAAGGACACTTTCATGGCAGATACGATATACAAGACATCATGTTTTCCATGAGCATGTGACAAAAAGAGTTAGCCAGGAAAAAAAACATAAAAACTGTATCAATAATAGCTGATGGTGCGTGAGAGGAAAACACACAGAGTTCAAGTAACTCTTACCCACAACTGGATTGGAAATGGGACCGTGCCTCTTGGGGGAGACCGAGGGGTGGGGGACCACACAGAAATAAACACATGTTCTCTCTTCCTCCATCTGTAAATAACATTTTCACGCACATAATGCTGAGAACCTCGGTAAGCCAACTGTTACAACTGGGATGCTGCTTTTAAGTACTACCATCAACATCTGTGCTAAAAATTAAAGGTTTTTTTTTTCAGTGCTGATGTTTTGTTTAAATTATTATCCATTGTGTAAAAAGGAATCTGAGTTATTGACACCCTTATGCAAAAATGCCTTTTGCTTCCATGGAATGCTTAATTAGACAAAAGAAAATGTCTTTCTTTAAAGAGTAACTTCGCACTGAGCTGCCTCACTGCAGGGCTCACTGAGTAACCTACTGCCTGTCTGCCTTGTAAAACTTTGTAAAACTACTTAATTTCTGATTTCTTTTTCAAGCCACTCATTCTTTCTGGTGACCGTACCTCATCTTTAAGAGTTCTCAGGCTAGCTGGAAGCATACATACCATATCGCCTTCAGCTTTGGATAGTCTGTTTAGGAACCTGTGTAACTGCTGCTTGTAGTCTCTGTTCTCTGCTGGCATTAGGAAGAATTCACAATAAACCAGATGCCCCGGGAGATCTCATAAATGTATATGAATCTGTTTAATGCCTGGATTAAGTAACTGAACATCTAGATACAGTATCTAGGCAAACTTGCCTTCTAATTTGTACTAATCGTGACACATATATGAAATTATTTTAATATTAAGCAAGAAAGTTAACAAAGGTCTTGAGTTTTCTGCATAAATGCTAAGTGATGTGTCCGATCCTACTCTGGAATGATGGCTCTCAGGAGCATTGTGTTTTTCTTGATTGCAAGTGTATGGCTGCTTTTTAGAACACACAGTGGAGTTTTTTTGTTTCTTGCTAATGCAAGATCACTGGGGTTAAGTGCACAACTCTTGCGTTGTAATATTTAATGAATTATCTCGACTACAGCTTCCAAAGATGTGACATCATTTTGGATCTGCACTATTTTATGAACTGCTCTAAACAGATGACATCACTGCAACACGTAACTGTTCTGTAGAAAACAACTACTAAAAACTTACGTTCTCTTACCACAGGTATTTTGCATGGAGCTGGACTTTCTCAGCTTCCCAAGCAGCGCTCTCATCCAGATGATCAACGTGTTGAGCAGGCTCCAAATAGCCACGTCAAATATGTCTGGTAAAATTATTTAGACACTTGCTCATTTTTACATCCACATTGTTTATTAATAGGTTCTGGCCCGTGGTCAAGTTAACAGGCTGCTTCCCTAGGAAAGGCTGAGTTATGGCAGTTTGTTTAGGAACATTAAACACAAAGGTAGTGCATAGAAACCCAATCTGCAAATGATGGGCTGCTGACCTGCTTCCAGCTTTAGAACTACAGAGCTGATCTTTATTTAATGGCATTCAGTGAGTTCTTACTTATTTATCATTGTGCTGAGCCCAAGAAAAATACTGCACCTCTCCAGAAACAGCTGTTAGTGAAGATAGCTTTATTTTCTGTGCTGAATTTGTAAGCCACTTCTCAGGGTAATTTTTCTATTAGGATGGGAAATAGGCTGACCTAGCACAGTTAGTAGGCCAATTTTGCAGCAAAAGATTAAAGAGTTTTGATAAGTAACAGTTTCACATTCATTCTCTAAATCTTAAGTCTTACATCTTTCAGTAATGGAGATTTGAAAAATATTCCCTGGCTTAAAGTTTGAGGTGATAGTTACAGGCTTAAGTGTTCAAAAGAAGTCCTGGAGGAGCCAATGCATAACACTGACTACTTTTTTGTTTTTCTTCTCTCCTCTGCCTCCACCCTCCCTTTGATAATGCAGGAAAATGCTGCAATCTCTGGGAAAGCCAGAGGTCCATATGGCCTTAGACGTCATGATTGTGAGTGGATCAGGCCAGCAGCATGAAGGCTGCTTGCTGCTCACCTCAGAGGTACTCTTTGTGGTCAGCATCAGTGAAGACACGCAGCAGCAGGCATTCCCCGTGACTGAAATAGATTGTCTGGAAGATGATCAGCAAAAAGATGTGCTGAAGGTGCAGCTGAAACAACAGCGAGTGCCTTCTGAATTGGAGGTAAAGACCTGAGTATGGTGGGTTTTTTGAAGATAAAGTTACACCAGTGATGAGGCTTTTAGCAATGGGCATACTCACCTTGGGTCAGGAGGCCAGAGGTCTCAGTGCCAAACCTGTAGCACTGCTGCTTGCATGCACCCCAAGGTTGACTTCAATCAACTTTGGATGAAAGGGACTTGGCTTCTTCCTTCTGTCCTCTTATTGATCATGACATTTCATATCTGTGACAGCAATAAAGTAGAGGAAGTCTGGGTTCTTGGTAAGCACCACCTCTTTTCTTAAGAGGTTCTCACAACTGTATGTGCATGAGCTGTTTATTGTTTGGCAAGTTACAGGCTGCCTGTGCCTACAGAGTCACAGTGAGAACAGTTCCTTTTATTTTTCTGTGACATCTAACAGCTCCTTTCAGCATGTTTCTTATCTTGCTTCTTCCAGTGCAGTGGTCTTGCTTGGCTGCTAGCTGTATTTACTTGCTTAGATCTTCCTTCTTCTGCAAATGCTAACTTTAAAACGGATCAGTTCTTTTGCTGAGTTTGGATGCACCAAGTTTGCCAGTAAGAGCAGAAATCCTTCATCTTCATATTGAAAGATCTCTAAGCCATTTGAATACTGAGGTTTTGGATGAATTATCTTCTTTTAATGGTAGAAGAATGTTATATTTTTACACTTTCGGGAAACAATGTTTATTGTGTTAAATTCTCAAGTGGAATCATATGAGAGATCATTTCAAAAATAAACACACATATCCCAGTTATTGTTTTTCTAAATCTATGTCAGGTAGTTCATAGACTGCTTAATTTCTCTGTTCCAAATACAAGAAAAGAACACCCGTGAAGTATGGGGTGTGCCAAAAAGTAGGGGACGTTTCAGCACCTTCAGTAAAATCCTAACTTCGCTGAAGTCACTGAAGAGCTTTGCCATCAATTCCAACACAACAAGGATTCATCTGTATCATGACCGTGCTTAGATTTTTTCATGAAAGCCTTTTTTAGTGGTGAATTCTCTATTTACATGTATTGTCTTTCCACTAACCTCAGTCTCACAGAGTGCTGTTGAAGTTGCCTTCTCTCACCACAAAGCTACATGAGGCATTACTTAAATTTTAATGTAGGTGGGCGAAGCTCAGCTTTTTTTATCCCTGAGTGCTGAGTGGTTGCCGGAGGGACAAGTCAGACTGAATCCAGACTATCCTGCTCAGTCCAGAGCTACTGTCCTGGAGAGAAGAGGAATATAGTTTGTTCTCTCTAAGGCATTTGAGGCACTCAACCCATCATAACCCTAACTTTAGCACCAGCCCAGATCTTCTTTTATTAGTGTGATGACTCTTGTCTTTGCATCTGTTTGTGCAAGGGGTGAGGAGTAAGCTACTGCTCTGAGTTTAGGGCTGCTTGCCCAAAAGGGAGAGGGGAAGGTGAGGGACAGGGAGCCTAATTCTAGTCCCACCGCTGCTGCAGCAGGGAATGTACAGGACTTCTGGGCAAGTGGCTGCAGTACATGCACAGTGCAACCATACATGGCATGTGCAGAGCCCAGCATTCCCATATACACATGCTAGTACACACACTGAACGGGACCTGCTTGGGAGGCCCTGGACCAAATACATGTTTTTTTCTGAATTTCTGGGTAGAAATATGGGAGTCCTACTCCAGCAGTGTAGCAGTGCCGGGAGCTGTAAGCTTTGAGCCACCCAGCCTCAGCACACAATCTCTTTTGCTGACACAGGCTCTTGGGAGTGCAGTGAAAATGTATGATATGTCACAAGCAGTGAAGAGTGCCAATGTTCCAGTTGTGCAAAGTTAGTGGTGGCAAGACAGCAAAAGCTGAGTGAGGCTCTGCAAAACAGACCTGGAAAAATATTCCTTCAGAATGCAGATGCTGATGCTGAAATTTGTGTGAAAATTTAAAGAAAGAGATAAGCAAGGAGGAGCAGTTGAAAGTAAGGCAAACAATAAGGAAGTTTTAGGTTTTTTATGCTAAGGCAGCTAGACAGTAAGAGATTCCAAAAGCTTCATAAAGTTTTACTGATTACTTAAACTAATGTTCTTTTATATAAAGTTTATTACAGTGTTTTTTCTTTCTCAGTGGATTGGGAAATGTCATATTTAGTAGCTTCCTCTCTGTGGTGCTTGCGGTGTTGTGTACAGCATTGGTGCTGGCAGGAGCTTCTAAAAGCCCTTAGAACATGATTAGGAAAAGGAACCTTAGGAGCAGCAAGCTGTGACTTGCAGTGAGCAGCCTCAGAGTTGGAGAGCTACGCCTAAACAGACATGGTCCCAAACTATGAATGGTGGCCATCCTGTTGCGTTGAAGCTGTCCTCAGCTGAAGTGCAGGCACATCTGTACACAATTATATTAGTGAAGATGGCCAGAATTTTAAGCTGGAAAATTCCCAGTCAGGTCAACCAAAATATTATGGTAAGTTTAGCAAAATGGAGGTAATGTTACCAAATGTAAATTGTGTCTATTTTTCTGACTAATTTAGTCAAAGATTGAACCGTGTAGTTTCAATATTATAAAAATCCACCTTTTTGTCTTACTGCTCACAAAACTAATTGCCAAGTTTTGTTTCAGCTGTACCCAAACCAGTTTCTTCCCTTCCTTCTCCTCAGTTTCTTGGAACTATTAGGAAACAAAACATGAGTTATTCTACAGCTGTAATCACCAGAGATGTTATAGAGCATATTTTAACTTGTTCAGCAACAGGTTTGCCTGATGGCTTGTTCGCTTCCACAATATATAACTTAATCCATCTGGCTAAGAACAGTCTGGATGGAATCTTGAAAACTCTGGCACTGACAACATTGTTATTGAAAGGGAAGCATTAATTGTACTTGGATTATCTTCCAGAGTAATTGAGACACCGCTTGCTTCCAGACAGATATCAAACTCAAAAGGCCTGTTCTTCCAGCTGCTCTTGGTAGAGCTCACAATGTCAAGATGACAAAAAAAATTAAGGCCCCTGAAATTTCAGATACTCCAGAATTTCTTTGTGATAATCTGCAAGAGGGTTTCCATGACAGTGCTACATGGTATCATGGCTGGAGATGAAAAACAGTCTCAGGAGTTTTTAAAGCAGTGAAAAAAAACCCTAAAGAACCAGAGTCAGTGTGCACAGAGCAGCCCACCAGTGGCACACACATCTGAATGCACCATGAAGGTGCTGTAGCTACTGTAGAGTTAGAATTGCTGAAGGTTTATTCTTTATAAGCTGTAACGGGAGGAATTTTGGAAAAATACTGGAGTTCTTAACCTGAAAGTATGGCCTTATAGCATGACAGCACGTGGTATCTTTAAGATTCCTCTTGCAGGTGCATTAAGCAGCTCTTGATTCACTTATGAGTCATTGAATGTTCTGGCTATTAATAGTGTTCAAAATAGTGGGCTAAGGCACTTAGTGACAACGTTTAGTCCCAGTTAGGAAAAAATGTAGAATAACAACAATTCCAAGTTTGTGGTGTTGTCTTGACAATATAAGGTAAACTGAAACTGTCTGGAGAAGCAGACGGTTGCAGTCAGCTGGGAGCAAGTAGGGTCCCAGTTACTTTGGAAAACCATCCAAGGGCAGTTAGTATTTCCTTCTGAATAATTATGCTGCATTTGTGGAATATAGCCTGGGGGTGAATGAAGAATGGGTTCACAAGTGCAGGTGTGTGGGATACCAGCACCCTTTCCATCTCCTTTAATAACTAACTTGGGTCTTTAGGTCGGGCTATAACCCAGCTTCCCAGGGCTTACCTGTCCTGAAGTAGAAATCAGAAAAAATGGTGGAGCCGCATACATGCAAGATTTACCCCATAACTTAAAATCTATTTACGTAGGTGGGACTTCAGCATGTTTCTCTCTTTTCAACTGGTAAAACAACTGCTGAGATGATACTTTTTCTGTGTCACCAGACTGAAGATGAAGGGGGCCTACAAGGATGCTGGGGGGACTCTTCATCAGTGATTGTAGTGATAGAAAAAGGGGTAATGGGTTAAAACTTAGGCAAGGGAAGTTCAGGTTGGGTATAAGGAAGAAGGTCTTTACTGTTAGGGTGGTGAGGCACTGGAACAGGTTGCCCAAAGAGGTTTTGAATGCTCCATCCCTGGCAGTGTTCAAGGCCAGGCTGGACAGTCTTGCACAACATGGTCTAGAGCGAGGCATCCCTGCCCATGGCAGGGGGTTAGAACTAGATGATCTTATGGTCCTTTCCAACCCTAACTGTTCTGTGATTCTATACGGCTCAGACACCATTCTCCACCGTTTTTCCCTCCCTTTAAGGTCATTCATGGAAACCACACTCTCCTCTGCCCATTTCATCATTTCCGCTCTTTCTAGGCATGGGCTCCAACTTGAGCTTCTGAGCTTGTTCATGAGCCTGCTTCCTTTAGCATTTTTGTGGTGATGATTGAAAACAGAAGTGTTTCTACTTGCTGAGCAGCAAATGTATCTCCAAAGGCACAGTAAAAAAAAACCAGAGGGGCCGGTTTTGATGTGGATGTGACATCTGTCACTGTCAATCAGTCATATTAATTCATTCTTCAAATAAGCAAGGGTTTGTTTAAAATGAGCCTTGCAGTCCAGAGATGTGACAAGATACTGATCATGGATGTTAAATTGAATCCAACGGCACTGTTTGAAAATGCCACCACATCTAGTGAGGCATGTGTAAAACTCCCTGAAAAAGTCAGAAGGTGATAGCGCAGTCTTTGAATCTTTACCATGACATCTGACAAAGACATTTTAAACCCTCCAAAAATGAAACTGGTCAGCAGTTGTCTCAGTGTCAGTGTGGAACCATCAAGCCCTAGGATAGCTTCTGCCTTTTTGCTCACGGTCGTATTTTGGAAGTAACTTCTACTCTGGATGACTTTGCTAGTGAAACCTCTGTGGCATACATGGTGGTATTTCTGAAATACATTTGTTTGAAATTATGCAACTAGCTTGATGCCTGCCTGCATGCCTTCCATTCTGAAGCTGGTCATAGTCATCTCCAGTTTCTTCTTCAAAAAGGGCACAGCAGGTTGATCTTCCAAAGCCAGGTTTGCCTGTGGCTTTTCATCTAATACTTTATCGGGAGTATATATGGTAGAAGCCACCTTTCTGTTGACAGCATTTGTTTTCTTGTATTTTTTTCTGCTAGAGGTAGCTTATTTGCATCCCTCTTGCTAGAACCTTGAACCTCTATGTATTTCAGCCTTCAAGCAGGGAAGAAACCCTACCAGTTCACGGTGGTGGAAAAGGCAGTTTGCACAGACACCTTGATTTCTTCTCCAGAAATGACACCCCCAAGCCATCTTTAGTAAAACCCTTTTGTTTAAATCAAAAAAAAAAAAAAAAGGTTTTTTGGGTCCTCTGACCCAGGACGGCTTTTTTGGTTACCAGAAACAGATGGATATATCCCATCATAGAACGTTCATCTGGAAAGTAGCTTCTAGGCTTTATTTTAAATCAAGTTAAAGATTTACTTAAACTTAAGTGCCCAGATATATCTATGGGCTGTCTTCAATTGGACTTTGTGAGAAAATGTTTTTGCTAATTAGAATTGCTATCATCTGCTAAGCACTACTGAGAGCTACCGACATCTTTCTAAAAGGGGTTCAGATGCTTTTCCTGTCTGAAGTTAGAGTTGATCTGTTGCAAAGATCTACTTTTGACCAAGGTGTCCATCCCTGAAATTGTTCAAAAGATGATTGATAGTGCTTAAATTTTCTACGGCACAGTTAGAGCTTCTCAAAAGTGTCCAAAATAGTAAAGGAGAGGATGACTAATCCACCAAGCACTAAACTATGGGGAGAACACTTGATTAAAACATCCATTATAAGAAAGACCATTAGACCATTATAAGAAAGATCCCAGGGACGAAGATTTTTAACTACAGAAAGTAATGTGGAAGTTAACTGCCCTTACTACCAAGTTCAGCTACTGTCAATTAGTAACTATATTATCTATATATTGCTATTTAATATTACATTTGCATTTCAGGCAGATGGAGCTAGAGAGAGACTATCAGAACAACAATACAACCGCCTTGTGGAGTACATCACAAAGACATCGTATCACCTCGCTCCCAGCACCTCAACACTGCCAGCGTTGCAGACCGTGGCTATTGAACACCTTCCAACTACAATGAAAACATACCAATATGTAGTTGATCCAAATTTTGCCCAAGTATTCATTAGCAAATTCACCATGGTGAAAAATAAAGCCTTGAGAAAAGGATTTAATTAATAACAATTGTGGTGAGTATAGTCATGTCTTCCTGTTTTGAAAATAGTGCTTTCTCTGCAGTAACCTACATCAAGCAGAGTTGCATACAATTTTTGAGGAGGTAGGAGATGATAACAAAGCCCAATAGCTTTTTCTAATCTTGACAACATTCCTGCTCCTTAGCCAAAATACTAGTGCTGGAAGGCAAGTGTTATAGCAGATGATTAAAGGGAAAAGAAACAAACAGCCTTGGACTGTAGCTCTATCAAAATCCTTTTTCCTTTCAATAGCCAAAAAACAGAGAACAAGGAAAAATAGTGTGCATACAGACAGTTTTGCCACACATACACAATGTGTATCAGTACCCTTTATATCGTATTTTAGGGTCTGCCAGTTTCTGTTATAAACAAGCTTTATAACTGGGCTGTAAAAACTTGCTCAAGGCCGAGTCTTTTTCCCCCACACACGCACCCCTACCAACATGTATGTCCCGAGGTAAAACATTTTCCCCCACTAAATCTGAAAACCCCAGTGTGGCTGGTATAAGTAAGTTACTAGTGACAGCTGGGTTGTAGCACCACTTTAACCTTACAATGGCTTCTTTTATTTGACTGAAGTTTTGCAGGACATTAGTCCTTAATGTAAACTAGTGCCTTTGTGTGGTTTGGAGAGCAAAACATGAACTACAACACGAATTTCTTTTTAAAACTCTCTGGATACAGAAGCTTTATTTTATCCACTGTCAAATGTTCAGAAGGACTTTCAACGTATATATGACATCGTGCATTGTCTGGTCATTAGCTCTAAGCCGGTAACATGCAGTTCAAAAATTTAAGAAACAGAGTTTAGTCTCCTTAAAAATCTACCAAAAACCCACAAGTACAATGTAACATAGATGTGCAGGTGGTAAATATAGCCTTGCTGGGTCTTGCTTACTTCTGATCAGCTACTACTACACTTGAGCCCGGATTCATTTTGTTATCATCTTCGAACAGATAAAACCAGAGATATTTAGAAACATGACCTTTCAAATGTGTGCTAAGCAAAGTGAGATTTCTTTTTCAAGTTGAGTGAGTAAAAACTATGGACCCACAGGCACCAGTTACATTAACAGTTCATGATGCCATCACAATACACTTACAAATATATGTTAAACACATCAAGATGCAAGAGCTTTCTAAGTAAGTGTCTTATTTTTCAGATTGTTTTACAGTTTGTGAGAAAAAAAAAAAGACTCTTTCTGGGCAGAGTTTGATTACTTTATAAACCAAATATGATTATGGCAGTTTTAAAACCCAAAAGCTTACTTAGTGTTCAACTATGTGTCTTACTTTTCCCCTCTTTTCTATGTACTTATGGACATGAATTTTGTATGGGGATTCCTGAACATGGCCAGAATTGGAGACAAGAACTGGAATAAAAGCCGATCATCATTTGAAGCAGATGCATATGCTTTATAGTTAATAACTTCTATGCATACTTGATACGACCAAATGCACAGTGAATTAGTAACTGCAATGTTTTTCTCATGAGTTCTGTTTTGTTAAAGGGTATTTGTAAAAGCCATGTCTCTCGTGTACCGAAAATACAGAAGCCTGGGATCTGCATCGCCCTTTTCTGACTGTGAAATAAGCCCATCCATTATCAACATTTCATACAGTGATTTAATAACTTATTCATTGTTGAAATAATGCTGTTTAAAAAAATGTATGTATATACGCACACATGCTTAATTCCTAAATATTTTATGGAAATAGTTTAATACTTCTAATTTTGCATATTGGTGGACAAATTGTAATATAATGAGATTGTTTAGAGATAATAAAGCTATTCCTATAATACTGGGTTTGTGAGCTATTTGGTAATTTGGTTACAGGGAATGAACAGGTCATTGTGTAGAACAGGACAGACACGCAAGCTTCATGTAAGACCCCATCAGATTCATGTCCTAAAAAATGCAATAGATCACGACAATACATGGTAAGTAAAAACTGATGATTAGCTTGCTGAAAAAAAGAGTGCTGAAAAGTTTTCTGCTTTTGTGACTGAATCAAAACAGCAGTGTAGTTACTATGTGAATTAGTCTAATCCGTTCATTATTTATGTAGTACACAGACCAGCCAAGAAAATGCACACACACCTGTTAAAAAAAAGAGGGAAAGCAGCAGTTTAATTTCTAAAAGTTGGTAGAGTGCAGACTGAAGCCATCGTTTAAGATACATTTGTGTTATTCTGAATTATATTCTCCTGGAATAAACACTTGCTTAAATTACACTCCATGAATCACACTCAGTGAATCAAGCTGGCATCTTTACTGTGTTAGGCAGGTTTCTTCTCCCCCTTCCGACCACATGGATGGAAACGTGTGGAGATGGCATATAAATAAGACTCTCCTACATGTGGGCTGTGTGAACTACGAAAACAAAGTTGTCCAAAGAGCAGCTGCCTCTACTTGGCAGCTAAAGCACTCCAGTGTGTACTCTTAAAACATGCCTGCTCTCATAATGCTCTTTAGACCTGGAAAGCTCACAACTTCAAATGTCTTTTTAGTTTTTACCTTTGCTGCTGAAAGGAAGCACTTGCTTTATACCCATCCATACACACAGAAAGCAACAGTTCTACCATTCAGCCTCTCAAAGCACAGACATAACAGCTGAAGCTCACCTGTCCTTGTCATGGTTGAACAGATTTAGCTAGAAACAGCTCTGCTGCAGGGTCAAAAAGAAACCGTCAGTCACAAAGCTCTCATTTCTTTAAATCAGCACATGCTGGTAACTGAAGGAACACAGACTACAACAATAACAGCTGTTGGCTATAACAGTTTAGAAGAAACTTGGACTTTAAAAGTAAATTAATTCACAGCAGTGGGAAAGAGTAGAGGGTAGAGCTGCAAGGGAAGGCAGGTCTGCTAGCCAGCACACCTGGCAGTAGCAAGTTCTTTGCCTCGGAAGCTGTCAGTATGACTGAAGACCCCTGTCTACTTAAACCTGCAGACAAGCCTGAGAAAACGCTAGTCAGTACTCAATGGCACGGAATGTTTATATTGTACATTGGGAAGATAAATGGGTATCATTTGCTATTGTTAAGCTCTGGTTTACATTTATAGGAGCAGGGGTATTTTGATTACAAGATGGTTTCCCCCTGCACCACTAATGTCAAATTCTTTCTTTGCTTAAAGGAAGCACTGCCTGTATGGAGAGTTTAAAAATTCCACATTGCTCTGTAATAGTGCTCTCGATCAAATACATTACCTACGTGCTTTCATTAGTACAAATGTTGCTCACTGATACCTATTAAGTGTTAAGTAGTTAATGATCCATTTAAAATAATAAGAGTTACTCCAAACAGGATTTGAACTGAAGACCTTCAAATACAACACAGATGGCCTAATTTGTCATGCTGCTCCGTACAAAGCCTTCCCTCCCTTCACACCGTCAGCTCCAACTCCTCTCTCAGAACTCACACTCAGCAATCAAGAGCCACAGTCCCAGTACCATTCATCATCAACCTCAGCAACAGACAATGCACAAAGCATGTTTCCACGTGACAGGTATCGTGGAAGAACACAGATCATCAGGTCATGTACTACACAGAACGTAGCAGAGATCAAAACTACACTTGAAATAATACATGTCTAGAAGCAGCATGCAAAGATATTCATTACTGTAATACCCTAAAATATTTATCTTTCCCCTTCCCTATACATCAAATACCTGCAGTTTAAAGTCATTTTTCCATTAGAGTAGCATACCATGTGTAAGAGTGGGCATTTGCACAGTTTTTAGGTCTTGATATAACAGTTGGCTTCTGCAACAATGGCAACACAGTGATGACAACAGAAACAGATAGGAAGGTTGGCCAGCGTACTTCCAGAATTCCTCTCCAAAGACTTTCATGTCAAGGCCAGTTCAACCCTGTGGAGCCAGAGGCCAGACCCTTCCAGAAATCCAGCCTCTCCCTATAACAACTATCCTCTTGCACATTCCCATCAGCACCTAGGACAACCTAGCTGTAACTGCTTAAGATGATACACTTTGTTATCAAAAATGGAATTTGGCCAAACCAGAAGCAAACAGTTCCTGGGGAAAAGAAAACGAGACTTGGTCACCTTGAGTAATTTATGAAGACTTTCCATCACTCCTCCCAGCATCTGAGCAGTTAAGCGTTTCAACATTAATGAAGACAACTAATGCCACTGTGATGTATTTTATTTGAGTTACATTAAAGTTTGCCATGCACTGAAGTGCATTACACTTTACAATTCAGTGAACAAATAAGGTTCGGTCACCACATCTCCTTAGGCTGACGGGTATCTGCAAGATAAAAAAAATACTAAGTTAAGTTAGACAAACTTCATGCTCTAAGTAAACATTATTAGCATGTATGAATGCAAAGCAAGAGAGAAATGTTTATGTGGTGGTTTCGTCTAAAGGAATTCCCCCTGTTATTTCCTTATGGGTTAAGATTCACACACCCTTCATGTGGCAAACAGAAGTGAAACATGGAACAAATCAAGAGCTGGAACAATACTGCACAGCATGTCAGATCCACTATACATGCTGCACCGATAACTGAATCAATCTTGCTAAGGGCCTGAAAGAGAAAGGAATGTAGCTTTCAGATAGAAGCCAGAAAGGAAACAAGTGGTGTAGGCAACCTACCAAGAAAGGAAGAAAACCAAATTCAAATTGCTTCTCCACGTTACTGAGCACAACCCAAGACCAGCTGTGCGCCATGACAAGTCATGCAAGTGGGGGTTAGCACCAAACTCTTAGCTTGCCCCTTTCTTCTGTTACTGAGCACACTTTAGAGGTAGGATACTCCTCAAATTTACACTTGTACTCACTATCAATATCCCCACACAAAGTCCATGCCAATTCACCCATAGGTACCAAGTTACCTGCATGCCCAGCAGGAACAAACTCCATGCAGCATGCCAAGCTAATACCTTAGCTAAGGAACTCCCCTCCCTTTCCTCAGTTTTGGGGCTAAGTGCTAATTCCAGAGTCAGTATTCAATGAGGTTAAACCACTGTATTTACTGCCACATACAGAATATGTTCCAGTAAAAGGGGAGATGTAGCGCATGCATGACCACTATACCCTTGGGTAAGTACAGCAAAAAAGCATCAAATTCAACCTCCATCCAATCTCCATAGCCAAGATTTAAACTACTAAGGCAAATGAAAATGTCCTCCATTTGTTCTGTGTACTTGTCATTTTCAGTGTCTTTCCAGAACATCTGAAACACTGGCATTGCTTTTCCCTACTCCTACTTAAGCATTCATGTGCATACATTAAAAAAGAACCCAAAAACTCTTTCCACTGTAAAGAAGTGAAAAGTATCAGTTATGATACAAACAGGCTAAGGAATAAGAACCATGAGCAATACTAACAAAATCCCATCTAAAGCCTTGACTTTCACATTTTCTTTTGAGCTGGTGTAATTACAGAATGGAAGAAATGTTTAGGAAACATTTAATTTTAACAGGTGCTCACAACGTGCAATTTTTTTTAAGCTGCAAACATCAGCTAATAGAGAGCAAAGCTCTATTTGCACTGAAAAAAAGTCCTGTTCATGATTCCAATTAAATATTCAACATGCATCCTTGTTGACAGTGTTTGTTTCATATGATTTTACCACCAGATGGCCTTTCAGAACACTCTGATGAAGGCCACCTGACTAAAGAATGCAATTCCAGTGTCTAAGAAAGTTTAGAAGTGCCAATATATTAAGCAATGGGACCAAACCAGAGGCAGAATTAACAAAAATAAAACCAGGTAAATGTAGCATTTCGTTATTTATCTTTGTTGCAGTCACAGCTAAAGGACAGAAGTTTCCCTCTCACAAAAAAAAACAAAATCCCAAACCAAAGGGACTGTCACAGAGGTTTTTTTCTTTTTTTAACTTTTAAACTTTTCAGAAGACCTCTGCTTTTTTTAATGTAATGGTGTTACTCAGAAATCAGATAATTCTAGCTTGTCACACAACAGAATTTAATATTAATAGTGTTGAGTACAAATCCTTTATTCAATCTTGTTGCTTTATGCAAACAGACTGAGAAGATCCAGCTGGCCGGCATAATTAGAGCCACAGATTATCACGTAATGATCATAATATGAAAACATTCCAAAAGAATGAAAAAGCTATCATCCTAGATTAGTTAGAAGTAATTTTAAGAGAAGCAGAGAACTCAATGTAAGAAATTTGGATCAAGAAAGGGGGAGGAATTCTTTATTGAGTTGTCACACCATGAGCTCGTGCAGTTTAGTGAGTATGGTCATTAATAACTAAGACAAGGTTGAAATCAGGACTTTTTTCCTGGTGTTATGAAGACTAAGCGAGGACAAAGTCTGATAGTCTTCAAACAAAAGGCAGCATTAAGTGCTAGGAAAACAGTATCATGAACACAGCTCTATTCAACCTTAATTCATAGAATCATAGAATAGTTAGGGTTGGAAAGGACCTTAAGATCATCTAGTTCCAACCCCCCAGTCATGGGCAGGGACACCTCACACTAAACCATCTCACCCAGGATGGCAAAAATCTGAATATTAGCACACAGAGCTGTGAGCCACTGCAATTTTTATATATGTGTGTGTGTGTATATATTTAAATATATTTCCTCTCAGGACTAGTTATCTTTCCCCATCACCAACTTCAAAAGACAAAAGGATGTGTGGAACCTGCCTTTCTCCCTTACATTCAGATGCATGCTATGAGAGACAGCCTCTCTATCTCATCTCACTGTGCTACCCCAATTACCCAAGTAGTACACATAGATAGCCTAAAGCTAAGCAGTTCAAGGTGTCACAGCAGCAGCATAACAGTGGTATCAGGCAAGTCTCTTCTCCATGGCTGCGTGAGGAGTGAAAGGCCTGGCATCACTCTTTGCAAGTCTCCTGTATCACGGAAGTTAAACAAATTATCCACAAGGTATCAAGAGCTTTGTATTCTGCCCTTATTCCCTCTCCCCAGCTCCCATATTTCTTCGTATTTTTATTACCCAGAGGTATCTCAAATGCAATTTATATCCTATTTCTTTAGGAGCATCCTTCTATTTGATCAAAAGGAAAGAACCTCCAAATGAAAGCAAGATGTTTCACTGAACCTAATTTATTCTTGTTCTACTGCAGAGTAGCTTACTACCTGTAAATCAGGATGCCATCATTTGGGTGGTGCAGACTCAAACACACCGGCTTTTCTCATGGCTTCAAAGTCCTTCATGGGATCATAGTTTTTGTAGAACTCTGCATAAGCTCGTTTTCTGGGCTCAGCAACTCCAAACTGGAAAGTGACACACAGAAAATCAGACCTTGCCAAGGTTTACAACCAGGACTTTTCTTCTATTGGCACTATGATTTGTATCATTGGTCTTAAAAGCCTTTCTCTCAAATAAGTAAAATATTATTTTATTTCTGTTCAAATCCACAGTTCAGTCTACCTGACCACTGGTCAAGAAAACAATTATGTGAAGTAAAACCTTAAAAAGAAAGTCTGTTACAAGATAGCACGTTATACTTTTAAGATCCAGAAACACTCCACCTATATTGACATTTAAGTGTCCAATAACCTCCTTGTTAATATTTTTGTATGTAAAACACGCCATTATGGCAAGTTTTATGCCTGTGGGCAGCTGCAGAACTCTAACTCCAGATAAAAAGGTGTCCTGAACAATTACATTTGAGCTACACTGTAGATCAGCTACAGAAGTTGGTAAAGTTTTACAATACCTCCAAGCCACTCATACAGCTCACCAACAGAAACAGTCCTGACTCGTTGGATACTCATTCACACAAAGCACACAGATATGCTTCAAAAGCCCCCAGATGTGAAGGAAAGTCCAAGGCGGGTTTGTCCAAAAGTATCTTAACATGTAATAAAGTAAATCACGACTGAGATCCATGTTACTCAATTCTAAATATGGTCTGCTGCCTTACTACTGTATTAATGTGGGAGTGCCAAAGAAAGTACAAAACCTTTTATGTTTTATTAACTATTAATAAAAAAAATATCGTAAGTCTGACAAAAACCAAGCTTGCCTACCTCTTAACAGAGGTCTTACGTACATGCTGAACTTAAACTGTGCAAACTCATTTCTGAGATGTTTGCTGATCTCTGAGAAGTGTACATAGATTGGGATATTTTTGTGACGAACAACCTGAAATCAGCTTAATTTCTAGTCACTTTTATCAACAGCTTCCTGAGTACTCAAATGCTGCAAATCACATTTGCATGAGTTCAACAAGCAAACCATGATCTACTTCTTCCACAGTAACTCTGTGTTGCTTGCTGTGTGTATGAGATCCAAGAATCATTTGTTAAAGGCACACAAGAACAAATACAACTCATATCTTTACCAAAGTCTCTTAAGGACCATGAAAAGCGATCTATAAGTGGGTGGGGTGTTTTTGGAAATGTAATGTTCCATTTCCACGATTCTTCAAAAGAAAGGATAAAATGACCACATCAGCCTTCCCCACACTGACATCAAGGATGGGTTTTCCAAACTGCTTTTGAGCAAGTTTTCTGAAGTCAGCCTAGAAATAAGAATCTGACAACACTCTTAGATACTGTCTTAGATACTGTGACAGAGACACAGACTATCTAGAGTTAATGTACATGATTAAGAGTAGTCTAGGACAAGGAGACTCAAGGTTAAGTTGTCATGAATTGCGTGATCTTGATCACACAGCTTAAAGCATCAGGTTAGTCATATGATTTCTTCAAATGAAGATTAGAAGATTTATTTATGTTCTGGAAACATGCTTACAAAAATATATTACTAAAGCTTTCTGATGAACAGCTCAACCAAATCTCAACAAAGAAATATTATGAATTCTTAAAGCACTCTAATGAGCCCCGTTTATAACTGAATGACTGCAGAGCTCACCTTGTATAAAGCCGCACATCCCAAAGATACAAAAAATGCCCCAAATAGGTGAAGCTTCATCCGCCTGGCCAGAAGGCGCCGCATCTGTGGCTTAGGTAACAGTGCAGACGACATGGTGATTGTATTTCCTAAAAGGAAAAAAGGAAAAAAGAAAAGGAATTATGGGACAATACGCTCTACTTAAATAATTTTCTGCAGCTCTACTCTAGAAAGATCGTGCTTTTTGTATGGTGCAACAATTACGCTCACAGTACAAGCAACAGCGCTCCTATCAGACTTTTAATGAGAGTGTTTAAGGGATGACATTCAAGGGCAATGTATTTATGACATGAATCTATATAAGTTTTTTTACAGCCAGATCAAGACAGGCTTTCACTGTTCATACTGAATTCTTCTCTTCCTGCAAGATCTGTCATTTCAGGCTTGCTGTCCTGGTGTTTACATCAGATGACATTCATAACGTTGATCACATTTTATTCATTTCTAAGGAAAAGCACATGCCTCTTGAACTCCCGAGCGCGTGTAGTGGTCTGGGGTTTCTTTTAAGTAACTGCAACCCTTATCGCATTAAAGGATATCCTCCTATCCGGTAGGATTTTACTAAAACCCCACATGGTCTAAAGCAAGGTTCAGTCAGTTGCGGCTGCCCGCAAGGTGCTGCCCCCTGCGCTGACAGGCCCCCGGAGCGGTAGCGAAGCCCGGGAGAAGACCAAGCTGTCCCCAAAGCCCTTGGTGCTGCCCACCCTCCTCTCCCACTTCACAGTAACCATCCCCGCGAGGCCCCCCTCCCGCCGTTACCGCAGGAAGAGGCCGCAGGGCCTGTCCCCGCAACCTCAGGGACGCGCAGAGGTCACGGGCTGCGGGGCGGGCGGCAGACGTGGGGAGGGCGGCGGCGGCGGGCGCTGGGCTGTGGTGGGGCACTAGGGGCAGGGGACCCGCGGCACGAGGAGGGAGCAGCGAGCACGACCTCACCTCAGCGCTGGCGCACCAACGTCCTTCCGCACCGCCGGCAGGGCACCCTCTGCGGCCCCGCTGTCCCGCATGCGCGCGGGGCGGCGACGGCGTACGGCGAGCGGCTGGGCCCAAACCCGGCAGAGCGCGATCTGCTGGGAGGGGGCGGTGCGGCCCGCGCGGAAGCGGTGTCAGCTGCGAGCCGTCGCCGGGGGCATGGTTGTGCCCACCGAGGGCTGTGCGCGGGCTGCGCGCCGCTGTGGTGCAGAGCAGAGGGAGCGGCATGGAGCAGTCTTGGTGAAGCGTGCTGAGCCAAGACGGGTGGCAGGCCTCACGCCCACCAAGAGCCCTCATGGTGCCACTGCCCCAACCATTCCCCACACAAATCGGTGCCTTCTGCCCTTCCAGGAGACATCAGTCGCTTTTCCAGATCTCCAGCGTGGCTATCAAACCAAAACGGCGGGAATACCAGAGTGCATGAAATAATAATCATTTATAGAGTTTGCTAAGAAGGGTTGGCCAAGCCTAGAAACAAATTAAGCAATTGATAATCCTTTCTAGCTATCCTTTAGCCAATTTTTGTACCTTTCTCGGAAATGAGGCACATGTGTGCTTTGCCCATGGATTCCACCTGATCACTGCCTGCATGTGGTATTGTCGTTTTTATTCCTGGGGAGTCTCGGGGGGAATTCCACTAAATGCTGTGAATTCCTGCCTTGAAGAAACTGAAGCCCCTCCTGCGCAGCGAGATACTCATTAAAGCCTTGCGCTCCCTTGCCAAAGCCAGCAGATCCTGACATCAAATGACAGGGGAGATGGCCCTTTAAACTGAAGTTTCTTTTCCGTTGATGGGATTGAAGAAGAGGAGAGTGTCAGTAGAAAAGTGCAGAGAGAAATCGTACAGCCGTGGCTACAAGCTGGGAGTGTTCTTTGCTACAGCAGTCTGAATAGATGCAATTTGGACAGTGTTCCTCAAAATGAAGAGAAGTTTGTTACAATAGTTGAGACCAAAATAAAGAATGTCTGCCCAAGAATCCTTCCCATGTGGATTAACACAAAAAGACAAATGTTAATGACGTCCTGCAGAAGGAATGGCAAGATAGATCTGTAACTTGATTGTGGGGGGTCTAAGGAAAATATCTGGGTCCACAAGCATACTGCTGTTCTTGAGGAGAGCTTGTGCAGTCATTCAGAGAGACCAGGAAAGAAATGGCAGGGAGAGTTGTCTAGGGCATCTTAAAATCTGCACTCAACTTGCCCTCGTTTTTCACAATGTCAGAAAAAGAGGATGTGAAATCAATTGGAATAAAAGCATAGCAGGTTTTGTGGTTACTATTGTTATAAATTATCGATGAGGAATTTTACCATAAATGCCAGTCTTGGTGAGAGAGAGTATTTTGGTGGATGGACCTAGGTCTGCAAATAAAAAAATCTTTTGATTGCTGTTTTCAGTAGCTTACTTCATGACTGGCCAGGTCATTGAATTCTTTTCTATGTATGTGAAAACTGGTCACATACAAAGAAAATATGTGCCTGAGACAGTGCTAGCTAGTCATCTTTGTGTTATAGTTAAGATGCTAAACGAAGTGCTAGTTGTTATTATTCTTTGATGTCATTGGTGTGGAATATACAGCCAACTCCTTATTGTTCCGTATAAAGGGCAGTTCAGGATGGTGCGATCAAGGGATAAAAAAAGGATGGAGAGTACATTGGAAGAAAGAGCCATGAAAGGAAGGAAAGGATAATCAGCTCCATTAAGTCAGTGCACAGAGTTGCTCCTATCACTCCAGTTTCTGAAGGAATTATAAATCTGAATGTGGTTTTGGACCTGAGCAGACCTTATGCATCCAAACGCATCAAAACAAATAAACACCAAGGCATACAATACAGCAACAGCAGTTATTTCCTTCCCAGTCCATCCAGTCCCTGGGGTTTCTGGCACCTGCTCCAGTTGTGTTTTGGACATAAATATTAGGACTGTTTGCTCAAAAGGTGCCACAGTTACCAGACTAGAATGTGCAGTCCTCTTTTCATCTCGAAAATACTGTAGCACCAGCAACAGTTAATACTTCTTCATGGTATCCTTGAAAGGGATCGTCTTTTGAGGAGTGCAGGAAGTCATCAATGCTAAATCGTTTCTTGCTTGTGCTTCACTGAAATTTAAAATAAAATTTACCTCTGACTTTAGTGAGAGAAAATTCAGGCAGTGGATCCCTGTTTTTTCCACAAAGAGTGCCAGCTGTGATACTTAGGACTGTACTTTCTGTGGTGTGGACAGGAGCCAACTAGGAACAGGACTGTGACAATCAAGTGATTTTGCATATGCCACAAAAAGTCTTTAGATAATCATAATCTGGATCAAATTAGAACCAATCTACTGGAAAAAGATCACATAGGACATCAGCAATCCCCTGAGCCAGATGCATTCCTAAATAGTTTATTATAAAATCTACCTCTCTATCACAGAAGAAAAAGAAAAATCAAACAATGCTATGTGCCACATACGAAAGCACATACATTTGTGCTCCTTCTCCCAGTTCTGTGACAAAAATTAACTAATCAAACACTCTTTTGCCATGGTTTTGTCGACATCAATCGGTGCTGTGGAACAAAGAAAGATATTGTGGCACAATAAGTTATTTAGCAGAATTGGAATGACAGCTGTACAAAAAAAAAAAATGAGGGAGAATCAATGATTCCTAAGTGGAAAAAGTCAAAATTAGTAGGGGAAGAAAAATATTTTTATACTTCCAAAAGTTCATTATAAACAAAGGAGGGGAAAAAAAAATTAAGGAAAAAAGCAAGAGTTCAGATCAGAATAAATGAAGCAGACAGGGATTTCACAAGCCTTTGCTGATTTTATGCATGCTTCTGAAATAGAAAAATCTCAAAAAAAAAAAAACCAAACTAATTTTTTAAGTTTGTTCAACTTATAAAGAGACAGATTTCTGTAATTTTATACACCTCAAATAGTGATATAATTATGTGAATAATCGTGTGTTTGGTACCATCAGGAATTATATTGTTAAGGAGAGACAACTATTTCTCAAGTTCCCAACTTGCAGTCAAGACATGGCTAATGTGTGTATTCAGGCCCAAGAGCTAGAAACACACCAGGTTCCACAGCTGAGACATTTTCATGTGACACCCGCTTCCTTTTCTGGAGTATGGTTTGTATTGTTCTCACTCTGAAGTCCTCCACGTTCAGAGGCCTTCTCTGAAACAAATTTACACTGATTGTTTTAGCAATGGGAAAACCTTGTTTAGATAAATTGGATTTTTAAACAAGCTGTGAATGGTCGATCCCTGGGAGTGTTCAAGGCCAATTGGAGCCTTGGGTGAGATGGTTTAGTGTGAAGTGTCCCTGCCCATGGCAGCGGAGTTGAAGCTAAGTGATCTTAAGGTCCTTTCCAACCCTAACTATTCTATGATTAGTCTGTCTTTTGTGGTTTAAAATGTTATGTAGCCTGTATGCATTGGAAATAAACTCATCAAAGGCAACCACTATACCAATCTGTATTTGCGCAGAGGTACCTTATCCAATAAAGTTTTTCATTACTTATCCTGTTTTTACCAGGAATCTTTGGAGTTAAACCACCAATACAGACAAATACTCCAGTCAACCCGTAGACTTGTTACATGTAATTCAGTCCCTCCACTCCCAGCTCAGCAACTGACCGCCCATCAGATGTAGTCTACAAGCACTCCTATCCTGGGTCAGCTCCGGCAAGTGTCCAGGGTAAGAACAGCGCAGGAGCAGAGCTCCTCCTTTTGAAAATGAAAGCAAGGACTGTAACACAAGGACAGAAGGCCAAGTTTCTCACACTCTTTTCAAAGCACAGTTTGGAGGATGTGCTGTGGCATGGTTTAGTTTCACACAAGGTGAAACTTTCTAGCTCCAAACATCATCCATCCTATGGAAATGATTGTATGGCAGAAAATGTCTGCATGTCCTGTCCAGCAATCCTGGTCAGTCTGTACGTGCATGCATCTGGTACCTTCACCAGTACTCTCCTCCTTGGTCATGGATGCATTACAGTAAGTCTAATCAGCAGATTTGTGGGTGCCCTTCAGTAGTCCAAAGCCATTGGAACAAGGAGTGTTCTTCATACCTTCACAGGGTTTAGACCAGGCCCTTCTGATAGCTTCTGTTTTTCCTTGATGTGACCAGTGATTATCTGACCTCCAGGATAGCAGAAAGTGGCCAACTACTGCTGTTTGTACAGCTGCAATTTTTTTCAAGAAATTAATTCTTATAGAAAATGACAGACCAACCTACCTGTGGGTATAAAACAGTGGCTGTGAAGTGGGAAAGTCTCCTTCAAATAGAAGGTAGGACTCACTTTCCACAAGGCACTGTCTTTAGCCCCTTCCTTGGTTAGGTTCAACATGCTTGCTCTGGGCAGGTCCTGACTCAGTGTGCTCCCCTCAGAGGAAGAAGCTGCATGGAGAGGAGAGAAGAGGCCTTGCTCAGGTATGGACTGCAGCCTGAGAGAATGACTGTATAGGATTTAACCTAGAGACATCTGTGCCTCTTATTCAATTCACCCGGTACAGCTCATTCTGACAAAAAACCTGGCCAGGTTACATACAAAATGCCACTTTGCAGTTGTTTCCTGTACCAAGTTTTTAGACCTTTTCTCATAGGTTTCTAAACCTCTCATTTTGGTCTGTTTTCATTCGTGTTGAGGTGATGACGTGGTGAGTGTTAGGAGATGTTGACAAGTTTTCTGGGTCTGAAATGACAGTCTAGAAGGGGGGAGAGTCTAGAGGAAAACTCTTTCAGGTTTGTTGTGACTTGTATCATCATACTGAAGTCATGTCAACCAAATTGTGTCCATTTGTGAAAAGAGAGTACATGAACAGAGTTAAAAACAAAAATAAAATAATAAGTACCCCAGGGATGATGTATTTCTTAACATGGTGAATGAATTGTGAGCCTGAAAGCTCCTCCGTTATTTCCAATTACATCACCAGGTCTAATAAAAGATAACCGCTCTTCCTAAAAACTGCCATTGCTTTTGTTTATTTTGGTGTTGGAAGAACCTGTTGACTTAGGATTGCTATGTTGTGTAAAGGCTCCATAGCTTTTGTTTCATATTTGTTGGTATTTGATGGCTGTAAATATCAATTTACAATTGTAAATTAGGCAACAC